TTTTTGTTTGGGATTTTTTTTTTTCCTGCCTTCCCTCTGGGTGGGAGGGAAAAAACAAGAACAGAAGTATTACTGCTTGCCTGACCCACAGAAAAGCACGAGGTTTTGGCTAGGTGTTTGGGTGGATTCCACAATATATTAAGTGTTGGGTGGTGTGTGTGGTTTATTTGGTGTTGGTTGGTTGGTTGGTTTGTTTTTGCCTGTGATCCTCAAGAGTCTGTGCCAATGCCCTTCTGCCCTTTTTGAAAGTGACTTCCTGTGTCCCAGAGAGCTGTCTCTATTCACTGTGCGTGAAAACAGTAACAGGGATTATTTGCTTGCTGACTGCGCTATGAATCAGTTGTCCGTGGGGAAAACTTAAGGAATCCTACATAATTCTTATTGGGTGGTGTTTTAGAAAGAAAAGAACTTGAAAGTATTTAAGCATCTTTTTTCATTTTAATTTTTTGTATTAGTTCTTCCAGAGCTTTGAGGCATTTATTTCCCCTAGGTTGCCCTTTGTGGTCTTTACGTATTTTCTTTCGGTACTGTTCTGAAATAGCATTCTCTTCTTGGTAATACCTTTTTCCTTGTTTAACAGCTACTGAAATATTTAGATTCATGTACTGAACTTGGGAATACAGCCTTCTAAAGGAGTGCCTCAGGCACTTCAGTGTTGATTGGTCACAAAATAAGGTAGCAACAGGGAAGAATCTCCTCAATAAGAGGAATGTGAAGAAGTTGCAGTTTTGTTTTTTATGTAAACACAGGGTGAGTGATCCTGTGAACGCTACTGAATTTTTCCCACAATGACTAGGTAGATCTGATTAATCAGGACTACTGTTAGTAACAGTCATGCTTTTTCAGAAAGTTTTGGCATAGGGCAAAAAAACTAAATGTGTGTTTCGGAAACTAATAATAAATTGCTTTAATAACGGTAATTGCTGGCAGCTCCAGCTAATCTGGAGCTCACTTGTAATCAGACACTCTTAAGAGAGTAAGAGAGTATAGTATAGTAAGGGACAGTAGTTGTCCCAAAGCTTTGCAGCCCAAGTTCAAAGGGGGTCTGAGGAAAAGAAGAGGAATAGAGGAACGAAATTCTCTTCTGAAACAGCAGAGCTAGAAAATGAAACCGGAGTCCTTGGATTGCTCTTCTGTTCATTGGGCCATGCTGCCTTCTGTTAGCTGATGAGATGTGCAAATGGTTTACATTATAGGGCAAAGTATTGCTTCTTGCAATAAGGAGGTGAGAGGAAAAAAAAATAGGAGTTTCTAACTAAACTTAGTAACTCTTTGAGGAAAAGCTTCTGAAACAGATTTCTGACTTACCTGATTATGCAGTTAGTTCATAGTGTTAACTATGATTTCCGCCCTTATTTTAGATTTAAGTTTAGAAAAATACCAATTTATTTGCTGTGGAAATGCTAACAATGATAGCCTTTGAACACGCAGACTTAAAAGCTATTAGTTCAGATGCGTAGTTGAAGATTTATCAGTTAAGCCACCACCCGTTAGCAAGCCAGAGCCATTTTGTTCCTTTAAACTGTTGAAAAGATATTGGATAATAAGCTGCACATATCTATATTCGGCCTTCTTAACTCTGATCTATTAAATTAACGCTGATTTGCAGTGATAGTACTTTAAACCAGTGGTATGAGAAACTAATGATTTTAATCAGCTGAAGAAAGCAATCTCCACTGAGGAAGCAGTTGCACTTGATGAAATATTTCTCCCCATTTGAGTTTATGTAGTATTTTCCAGTGTACTATTTAGGTTCTCAGTTTTCTTTGGAGTGTTTCTGTGTACCAGTTTCAGCAACTGCAAAAATGCATCTGTGTTTTGGAGCCCTCCTTTGCGCTGCCCCTTCTCCCTTCTTTCCCCTCAGCCAAGGCAGAATCAACAGCTGCAACAATTGTTTGTTGAAGTTTCTGAAAGCTTGCTGGATATCGCTAAGCGATACTCGATAGCTTGTTTTCCTCCTTGCATTCAGAGAAGCTGTACAATGTAAGTTCCTCTGTTTTGTATCTGCAAGTGTGGTGGTTTTTTTTTTGTTTAAATAGGTTCTGTAGCAGGTATGGTTCTTTTTTCACAAGACTTCTAGTACTAGCCATAGCCCAGACTTTACTACCTTTTAAAGACAGTGCAAGTGTAGTTGAAAAACTTTGTACATCTGTCTTGGGTATAATAGGCTCTTTTTAATTGTGGGCTGCTTCCAGAACCTGTTTTTAGGATGTGATGAGAAACTATTGTTTCATTAAGCAAAATAAGAATTGTAAGCTTTAATGCAAATGTTCTTTTGATATCTAATTTTACAGCTTTTTTCTTTTTTTTTTTTTTTCTACTTTTGATGGGAACCTGTTTATACTGAAACCGCTGTTGCTTGATGTAAAGCAGTGCAGAGACTTCACACGTGTCATTATTTCTTCTAAGTTTCTCTGTGGCTCTTCCACATGACATAACCTAAGTTACTGACATGGGTTAGGTAATATAAAGAACACCAGTACTTGTACAGTCTGTGTGCCTAGGGCTACATATCGGTGACCTGCTTTAGCCTTCGTTGCCTTATTCCTTTCCTTTATTACTAGCCCCAAAGCCCAGATAAAGGAGGGAAGATCCGGTTCCACATGCTATAATTGGTGTTACTATTTTTATGAGAGTACATCTGTCTCCTTGAAGTGTGCCTACCTGCACTTGCACGTGCTTGGAAGTTCTTTGCAAGTGCCTGAAAGTTTTTTTAAATCTTGACAAGATTTGCCAAAACTGAAGAGCGTGGAACTGGTTTTCCGGTGCTTAAGGAACAGCAGAGCCCTTGCTGGTTTGATGTTGGACTGTGTAGCACAGTATCTGTGCCTGCTTGCATCTTTTTCTCGACTTCGCCATCATGGGAAGTGGTTCATTCATGTTTCAGGAATCTCATATTCTGAATTTCCTGATTCTTCTGAAATTGTGCAAGTGTTTCTCCACTCCTAGAGAAGGTGGCATTAAGACTGATAAACATGCAGGAACGTGAAATAAATCTTTAAAGGGGAAAAAATACCTTGAAGTTGCCTTTTTCCCCTTGTTGCACGGTTTTGCAAGTAGAGAGAAATTCCATGTGGTTTACTTACAGGATTCATTACTTGGTCTGCAACTGCTTCTGCTAAGAAAAGGCTAACGCTTTCAAAGTTGGACATAAAAGTTAGGTGTGTAAAACAGTATTGCGGCCCTGAATAATTATCTCCATTGTTCAACGCCCGCAGCCCTTCCTAAAATCATTCATTGCACAGGATTATTTTTTGACGTAAAAATCAATGAGTTGCATAGCTGAGTACTGTTATTTCAGCGTATGTAACTTTTATTGTATAACTTGAGCTGCGATGTTCAAGCGGTTAGGACAGGAACTGCATTCTCCTTTGCTTGCCTTGAATCCCATAGAGTGACTTTAATCAATAATGGATCAACTAATTCATTATTAGAAGTTTCTTGAGTTTTCTTGCTACCAGCACAGCAGAAACAAATGATACTGCTGTTCCCTTTTCCCTGTCAAAATACAGCAAGGGAAGGTCAATGAATATTGAATTAATTATGCTCCAGGTTTATGAAACTGTCCAGTGTTATTAAGTCACGACATATTTCCTTGGAACATGCATCGCTTTCTCAGTGTCTGCTTAACAGGAGGATGAATGGGGATGTGCATGCACATGCGTGTGTAGATTGTTTCTTCTGTATCCCGTGCCTTACTTCAGCATCAGGTAGCAAAACAAGTCAGTTCTTCATGCTTTTGCTGTGCTTGGTCTATCGCTGAAGAATACAGAACACACCAACAGATCAGAAAATGCTGGCAGCAGTAACTCTAAGCCTTCTCTCCCACTTCCTAAATGCAGCTGAAGTTTCAATTCTGTGGGAATTGATCCTTCTTCCAGTTAGTAGGTAGGCTTTATAGAGAGCCATTTGGTTTGCTCTTGGATTTTGTCACTTGTTTGCTGCTGGCCTGTGACAACATACTACCCGATAGCTGGTTGGCGTCCAGGTTATTCCAGGTTAACAGAAAGTTTCCTCTGCTTAGCTCTGCAGTAGGGCTTGGTTGCTACAAAATGCCAGGTGTTCCTGTAATAACTCTTTAAAAAAGAAAAATGCTGCATAACACCAGCTTGTTATTTAAAGATAATGTACTGAACTTCATTTTCAAAATGTGATGGCAAGCTATCTAGCTGGACCTGTGGGTTACCTTGGGTTTCAATTGTGTTTTTTAATTTTAATCACTTAATTAGAATATGGAAAGCTGAAAAAAATTGCAATAGAGCATTTTCTGCGCACATTTTAAAAGGGAGTGAATTTGAGAAACAGATCACTTAAATTCGTTTAAGGACTTTGAGTGTTGACATTTCAGTTCTTAAATAGAGTACTCGGGTGGGGGAATCCTGATAGCCCAAAGATGACTCGTTTGGTTTTTGCAAGGGAGAAGTCCATACTTCTAGCGTTACAAGGAGTTACTGTTAGCATTGCAGGAAGGTACTAACTTAAAAAAAAAGAAAAAAAAAGGAGGGGGGGATAATGACTTTCTGTAGTCTACAGAATGTTTGTAACAGATTCCAAAAACAATGTCGTAGCATACTTCATTGTTGTACGTAAAGGCTGAGGCTTTTGTATCGCAGGGTAAACCTTCTGTTCCCCTATGTAATGGGAATGTAGCTCTTCTGAAGAAAATGAATACTTGCCGAAAATGCTGGACAACTTTACTAATTGTCCCTGTGTGATCAAGGGTTCCAACTGAGTTCAATATATTGAACTTGAGTGTTGTTGTAAAGTTCCCTCATAATTTACGAGACCAATTTGCAAAAGAGTGTAAAAGTGAAAGATGTGTATTTTCTAGGAACAAGAAAAGCGCCCTACTTTGGTTTACGTTGGTTCTGATGAATTACTCTTCCCCTTTGTGGTGCTAAAGTCGTGCCACTTTTTTTACTACCTAGAAGTGACTACGCTGACAAGGGCATGTTACAAAGACGTGGTATAAACAGTACAAGTATGTACTGTTTGCCTTTCCTGTTGTAAACAGCACTTGAATTTCATGTCTAAGACTTCTGTCGTCTTTATGGAAGACAACAGACTGAGCTTATTACGGTCCTCTGAGTATTGTAACGAGGAGATGGATTGTAACGCATTTTCAGGCACCTGTGTGGCAAGAAGCCTCTTTAAAGAAACTTATTCCTAAACATCCACTTTAGGAAGATGTCTGCCTTCCTTCAGCTTTGCAGTGTAGGAAGACTGGCTTTCTGGATTACTGTCCTACCACATTGAGTTTTTAACCTCACAGCTCTCCCCAGGATTATTTCTAAACTGTGAGTATTTGGACTGCTCTCTACTAGATATGACACACAGATCATGTTATTAAGGAAGTTGTTAGAAGTATTTAATTTGCAGATTACAAATGCACCCTCAAGAATTTGTGTGTGGGGTGGGGGGAAATGTGCAAATTCACTTTCACGTGGGTGTGTTTAAGCTTCTGCAAGGGTGCTGGCTATTCGTTTGGACCTCTTGGGCTGTAAGAACCCAGATCAAGGAGCAGGTGCCTTTTCATTAGTGCTAACTGGGAGCAGCGTAAGACCCAGTCGAACGGATTGTTTTACCTCTCTAGTCACCCTCTCACAGTAAGATACTCCAGCTGTTGCTTATAAGGATTTAGATTTAAGTTCCTGTGCATGATGACAGAATATTTGTACCGTATGTTAGCAATTAACGTCAATGCTTTCTTAACCATGGACCAGTGTGATCACACCTGGATCTGTTGTTATGGACTCTTCAACTTCCTCTATCAGTGCTGCTGTACTGTAACCTCGGAATGGCAGCGGTGGGTCGGTGGAACTATGCTGCTTCTCTGTAGGATGAACTTCCCAAGTCTCAGAGTTGTACTTCTTTCTCCTGTCCTGCTTTAGACCCTTTCATTGGGATCTGAATGAACTTGCTCAAATCTCTGAATTAATCTGCTTTCAGCATGATGTTTTGCAGTTCGGATGCTTGTCTGTGATTGTACTTGGTGTGAAAGAAGATGGTGAAATACGATGGTTGCAATCGTATTCCTCAGGTGGCTGCTTTACTCCTTGTGGCTTGCTTCAGTTAAGAATACCTTTTGTGTCCTTCCTATGGGCTTTTTAGCTCTTGCTGCAGCAGCTCATGGATTTAAACTGAAAGGTCTTGAGTTCAAACTCCGTGACTGATTACTCATGCTATCATGTTATAAATCCTAGTAAACCAGTAGGAAGCAAAGGAATGCAGAGTTAATCTGAGTATAAATGCTTGAAGCATGTGTGCCATGTTCCTTTCCAAAAAGTAGCCTGACTTTTATGCTTCTGTGCCTGCGTATCTCGGCATAAATAACTCTAGCAACCTTTTGGTACTTTGGATGATTTCCAGTGGAACAAAGTAGTGTGGGTGATGCCCTTGGTCTTGAGTAAAGTTCTGACCTCCTAGCTTGTGATCAAACTGATAGGCCAGTGTGACGTGTTTTGACAGCACAGAATAACCAAGGCCTTCGTTGCTTCCGGTTTTTGCAGATAGTTGCTTAGAAATTCATTTTAACTGTTCTTTCTCTAGGAAGGAATGTCTTCTAGGTGTTAAAACTGATTTGCCTTGAAACTAACTTTCATTGTAGCTTTTCTGTCTTAATTTGTTTCAGGTTTGACCAGAAGAGCTGTTAGTGTACACATGCAAGTTCTGAAGGGTTTTTGAAAATACTAAGGTAGTTGATTTTAGCAGGAACATGTTAGAAAACAAGCTCTTAAAAAGGCAAATGGTTCTGTGAGCAGCAGAGCTGATGAAACCTACTTTCTGCCAGATTGATGTCCTGTGTTATCTTTCTCCTGCTTCCTTCTGCAGTGCCTCCCCTGTCTTCTACCTCTTTCGCTGGCCATGAGGCAGCAGGTGCCATGGCTGGGGTTGGAGCTCTGTACTGATTGACTGCTACCTTTTGGAGAGGTTAAGATGTGAGTTTTAATACCTGCCTTTCCTACAGATGTTGACTTGGATGCCTTTCTCCTTCCAGCCGCTCATTATATTGGGGTGGGACCTTTAAGGAATTTGGTTATCCTCGAGTCTGCTGTCAAATGTGACTGAAGTTAGCCAGCACGTTTGAAGAGCAACGAGCTGAGAGAGTAATCAACAAGAAACTGCCATGAAAGTAGTTTAGAGGATTCTCTATGAACTATTCTTGGATAGAAGAATTGTAAGAGAGTTTCCCTTGCACAGTCCCCCTCCCCTGCCCCCCGCCACCAGTTTGTCCATCGGTTTCACTTGGAGCTCCTTCCTACTCTCTATTTCCTTGCTGTGCAGGGCCTCCAATCTGTCTGATATGCAAGGACACATGCTACAATGTAGAGACAGAAGTACTGGAGCACTGAGCTGCAACCAGGGCCTGAACTCTTTCCAAGCATTATACTGGGAAATGCTGTAAGGAGAGAAACTTTCAGAAGCCGCTTTTGCCTAGAGGTTGGACTAGATGAGCTCCTGAAGTCTCTTCCAACCAAAGTTATCCTGTGACCCTATTCATAATTAGGGCAGCATGTTTACACTAGGACAAGGGGTGAGCAGGTAGATCCAAATTCCAGTAAACTGCCTGCTTTAAACGAACTCTGTACTGCTTGTTGAGTTTGACCAGTGCACCTTGCTTTTACTGGCTTGTGTTGGATAGGTTTTTTTTTAGTTTTTTTCTTTTCTTTCCATTTGTATGTTAAATCTTTGTGGAGAAACGTTTGGAGTTGACCTTTTTTAAAGCAACTGAGTAGTCTTTGGTTTGAGATACCAGGTGCCTATTTGTGAAGTGAGTTACTTATTTTGAAGGGATCAGAATGGTCTGTCAGTTTAATGCTGAAAGAAGTGGCAGACTTAAGCGTCTTTAGAAGTTTAATATGTAGGGATATCGCACAAAGAAAAGCATAGTGGATGGAACCTGGGCTGAAATAAGTCTTTGCTCTATCCTTTTCAGTGTTATGGCCACCAACACTAAAGTTTACAGAGTTTGTGGCCTTTTAAACAGGAAGTCTTGATATATTTTTAAAGTAAATGTTGAGGGTTTTGGTGTATGTGGTTTGGAAGGGGAAAACAAAAATCTCTGCCTCTCTTCTTAAAGCTGTTGTATTTTCATCTTTGAAAGTTTTGACCATATAGAAACCTGACTTCAAAAAACAACCCCTCCCTGCCCTAAACTTCCCAAATCATAAGTTTCACACGTACTCCCCAGTATTTTTTTCTTCTGCTCGTCTGTTTCCAGATTTGCATCCTGTCAACCAGCTAGATACAGTTGGTTTCCTGAAACTATTCATCTAGTCACTTGATATATAATATTGCCCTCAAATATTGGATGGGACCTTAGCATTTTAAATGACAAATAAGTGATGTATTATAGGTGCACTGATATTTCAAGCTGTAGATTACCCTATCAAGTTCTGGGAAAAGTACGTTCTTGTCAAAAATTATTAAAAGTCAACCTGCCTCTCAGGATTTTCTAGATGCAAAGAAAATTTTATCTTTCTCATTATGAAAACACTGACTGTGGAGGATAGAGGCTTGATGTGATTGTTTTTTCAGCTAACAAGGGTTCCTTCATGTTTGAAGGAGCTTAGTTTTGTTTTTGAAGTCATGCAGTTTGGCAAAACTTCTGTCTCCTTCCTTTGAGAGAAGTTACCAAAAGAGGCCTAATTCAGATTACTTATGAATTGCAAGGGCCTAAAAGGTTGGTAGTGGGATTCTTTGTGCAAGAAATCTCTTCTGAGATTATTTTGCAGTTATTTTGGCAGTCTCTTCAAGTTATTTTGTTCTCCTCCAGGCAACTCTGTGATATCCTAACAAAAGCCAATTAAAATCCTCTGTAGAATTTTTACAGTGCACTGGACATGGACTCAGTACAAAAACAAGCTTTTTCCTCTTAAGTAATCCGGTTTTGGGTGTCCAGGACCATCTCCCTCTATATGCTTTTTTCCCCTACAATGTTTCTAATTTTTCCCTACTTTTCAGTGAGCAGGTTAGCTGAGAGATAGACACGACCAGAGTGTAACTACATATGAAATAGGAAGAATATCCGATGCTTGTGAAAACTGAGATGAATTTGAACTCTCGTTTTATATTGTATATTCAGTGGTCTGTTAACTATTAAAGACAAATTTTATGAAGATAACTTTTCTCTGATTGGCACTGGTCTGTCTAGCTTCTTATCTGCAGGGACTATTTCAAGGGTTGTACGAGCTATATCTTAAATGATGAGCTCAATCAGAATTGTAATTTTTATATTTCTCTCTTTGTATAAGAAAAATATGCATTTATTTTTCTCTTTTCTTGGGGGGAGGTGAAAAGTTGCTTTAAGGAAAAGGGTCGGACTGATACTTCGTGTGCATATCTGCCAGCATCTTGGCAGAAGTTCTCTCCTTTTAATCAAAAAATTCAGTAACTAGCATGTTCAGAAACACCTTTGGAAGTGTATTGGTTTTTCCTGTAACATAGAGAATATTGTCTGTCTTAGGTACTTTTATTAAATAGAATATGGGTTATTGGGGTAGAGAAAACGTAGCCGAGACACTGACATCAGTGTAGTGGGAGTGCTGTGCAGTGATGTAGCTGATCCCCAGTCATGATGTGAGACGTGATCGACGACGTGTAAGGGAAACACCTTTTCAAGTCCGTAGATGCGCAAGATAGACCTTGTCTTATTGAACCAAAATTGCAGCGGGCAGAAAAGCATGGAAATGTTTTCTGAAAACAAACCTGAGAGAGAAAACTGAAGAGCTCTTGAAAGGATATGCTGATAAGTGTTTCCCATGCTTGGACTCAGTCAGTTATCTTTGAGGTATTGCAGTCATGTTCCTCAGGTGACATACGTTCTTTTCTGTTTCAGACCAAATTCAGTTGCCCAGGAATATGATTGAAAACAGTATGTTTGAAGAAGAGCCCGACGTGGTTGATTTGGCAAAAGAGCCTTGCTTACATCCCCTGGAGCGCGAGGAAGTGGAGTATGAGCCAAGGAGCTCCCGGCTCTTGGTGCGTGGCCTTGGAGAGCATGAAATGGATGACGATGAAGAGGATTACGAATCATCGGCAAAATTGCTGGGGATGTCCTTCATGAACAGAAGCTCGGGTCTCCGGAATAACATGGCTGGCTATAGACAAAGTGCGGACGGATCCTGCTCGGTGCCCTCTACAAGGACCGTGGTGGTTTGCACGGTGGTTGTTGTGATTGCAGTTTCAGTAATAATGGTGATTTATCTTCTTCCCAAATGTACCTTTACCAAAGAAGGCTGCCGTAAAAAAAATCATACAATGGAACTAATATACCCTTTGGCAACCAATGGAAAACTATTTCCATGGGCAAAAATTAGACTTCCTACTGACGTTGTACCGCTGCATTATGATCTTGTCTTGCAGCCAAACCTGACCACTCTGAAATTTGCAGGTTCTGTGAAGATAGTGGTTAACGTCATCCAGGTAACTTGGAAGATTGTACTTCACAGCTCAGGACTTAATATACGTCAGCAGGAGGGAGTCAAGCAAAGCCAGTTGAATTCCTGGAATATCCACTGCATGACCAGATTGCAGTCATGGCTCCTGAGGCTCTCCTTGTAGGACAGAATTACACCCTCAACATAGAATATTCGTCTGATTTATCAGATGCCTACTACGGTTTTTACAAAATTTCTTACAAGGATGAGAATTCTAAGCAAAGGTATGCCCAGAAACGCTTTTCATTTCTGCTACTCCTGTAGGTTGTGTTCATGCGCGTGTCTGAATTTGGTAACTGTGCTTTGAGAGAGATAACAAGGCTTGACACCCGCCCCCCTCACCCCCCCAGCCTTTGAATTTTTTGATCTTTACAATTAATCTCTATAGGACAAAACGGATCTTTAATCTCCTGTTGGTTGACACTTTGCGTTGTTGACGCTTTATGCAAAGACCGGTTGTCAGGGAGGGAGACGTTATCCGTGATTACAGTCAGCATTACCTGAAAAACTGTCTTTTGTGGGTACGTTCATTAAGGCAGGGTAGCCTCTTTGTCAGTCCAGTGCGGTTTTCTGTACTTGCAGATAGCTATGGTGTGTTTTTTGTTGTTTTTGTTGTGGTTTTTTTTTCCCCTCTTTGCAGACGTCCTTGGCTGTTAGATAGGGACAGGACTGTGGGGATCAGTTCTTCTTACCAAGAAGGCTAATGAGAGTAGCCCCCACTCCACCCGCCTCAAGAGGGGCTGTAGGCTGATCATAGAGATAACATTGTGTCCTAGTTAGAACGGAACAGTCTATGCAGGTCTTCTAGGAGCAGAGACGGACACAAAAAATGAAAGACTGGAAAGAGTAGTCTGGATCAAGTTCAGACTCCCTTCGCTGAAAGGAAAGTAATCAAGAAGGGTCTACAAAACAGCTGCTAAATAAAGTAAGGATATAAACGCTTAACAGCTTGCTCTAAGGAACGCTAAGACCTAAAGTTAAAAAAAACAAATGATGGGGGGGGTGTGGGAATGTAACACTGGGGAAGAAGTAAGAAAAAAGTGTTACCAACATTACAAGTATCTGCTACCGCAGTGAGTTTGTGTGAAAACACCCAAAGCATTAATAAGTAGATTTTGTTCCCTGAAAAGGGAATGCAGAATTTAGTATTAATCCCCACCAGCCTGACCTTTTACAAATTGACAGTGTAGGCTTGAAATTATCCTCTGGAGAGAGGATCACACTGGGGTTTTATTTATTTTCGCTGACTTAAAACAAGACTGTTCGTTAAGCTGTCATTAGCTTTCTTCAGTGATACTCCTGGCAAAATAAAGCAGAGGTGTGGGGAAAATTGGTCATAATTTTTTTTCTCTCCAATGAGCTCCTATCACTATCCTCCATTTCTGCTTGGATTATTGCTTAAAGATAGCTCATCTTTTTTAAAAAAAAAAAAAAAAAAAAGGCAAAACAAAAAGCTACTTGGTGTCAAGATGATTTCCTAGACCATTAGGAAGCTGCCCAGAATAAGGAAGAAGCGTTCCTATTAGTTTACTCTTTCAATAAAGATACAGTAAACATTACTTTAGATTCAGCAGGCCTCTCTCTTAAGCACTAACAAGAGACTTTTAAACCAAGCGGCAAATATCTTTTCTAAAATCTACTCACAATTTACCTTTAAAGCTCCCTTTGAATAGATCAAGTGTGTCTGTGACATACTGCTGAAGTGTAGAAAAAGCATGCACGTATTTGGAAACAACTGGTGCTGTCAAAACAACTGATGTGTTCAGAGGAACTGGAGAGCCTAACCTGGTTCTTAAACTGATCCGTAACTGAGATAAAAGCAGAAACTTCCTTCCCTCCTGCATGTTGCTGTTGGCCCTTACACCATGTAGTCTGGGGGGCTTGCTTTAGGGGATCAAGCATTTAAAGAGAGAAACCTGGGCTGAAGGATTACCGATCTGTTCCGTTGGCCTGTGTCTCTAACTGACGAACGTGGATCTGTCTTACTGAGGTGCAAACAGGTGACTGTTCAGGAAGAAAATGCTTTCCGTAACCTTTTCATAAGAGGCTTGTTCCTGAGAATACAGTAAAATGTTCCAGTGTGTGCCTGATGACTGGGAATAATCCCTTGTCATTTGGGAAATCACCGATAGCCTCGTTACTCTGGCATCATAGAGAAAATGCTAAAGGTTGTCTTACTGTCACGGGAATGCTTCTGATAATAAAGAATCACAAGGGGTAGATTACATCGGAAGAACGTTTCCACAGGATGAAATGAAATGTTGTCAGAGCTAAGTAGCTTATCGCAAACAGTGCACGACATGCATTACCATGAAATATGAAGCGAAATGAGAGTAGGAATGCAGTAAGAGTCCTTGCAGTAAGAGTGCAGAAGGAAAAAAGGCTTAAAGCATTTTAAATATCCTCCTCTTTGAGTTTCCATATTTCTTCCTACTCTGATGTAGCTGAAGCTCTAAGTTTTTTCCTTATTTGTACTGTAGTAGAAAGAGGATGTGTAAGTGTTGGCCAAGATTGAAGGAAAAAAAAAAAAAAAACAACAACAGACCTGCCACTGGTGTGATGGGTGTGGTTTTTTTTTTATTTTTGTCCCCCTTCAGTGCAGCGGTGCCTACTTTTATTCAGGGAGAAGATGTAGTACACCTTTTAACTTGTGTATTTTTTGGTAAATCCTCTTCAGATGACTCTGCTGCTTACATGTCTGTTGCCTTGCCTGCCCCTTTTATTTCCAGGGGCTGTATCTTTGTATGCTTAATGTCAGTGGTTTTAGAAATACAGGCCATTACAAGGACACCTGTTTTTATTACATTTTAATGTAAAACCTGAGCTATCAAGTTGCTATTGCAACTTGAAAAAGATTTTCTTCTAGACTAATTTCTCTTTTCTTTTTGAAGAGTTTTTTTTTTGTGTTGCAACAAAAGTAGTAAAATCTGTCAACTGGCAGGATGACTCACTATTGCCACATGCAAGTGATTTTAAAAAAAAAAAAAGCACAAGTTGAGCCCTATTTCTATTTTTATGCAAAAAGGTTCCTTGTTTTTTTTTCCCCCTTGTGTGCAATCTCAAGGTAAAGGAAAGAATATGAAACTTGCGACATCCCCTGTTGGTGAGAGGGGAGGAAAAGAGTAAGGAATCAAAAGTGGAATCGGAGGCAAATTGTAGGATTAGGCAGCCACGTGACTCCTCAGAAAGCTGCAGGTCCAAAAGCATTGAAGTGAAAATGTGTAATAAGTTCTTGCTCTCCACGATGCAAGAAAAGGTGTGTGTGTGTGTGGGGGGGGGGGGGGAAACAAAAACAGCAAAGCTTGTGGTCAGTTTAGCAGTAAGTTTTTAAAAAAGCAGTGATTGGAACTGCTGTTCTCTCTACTACTTAGCCTGTAATTAGACTCGAATGGGCAAACTTCTTGTTGAGCTCCCAGGGTTGTCTTGCAGGAGCAGAATTCAACTCAGAGAAGCCCTCTAGGAAAAGCCATGGTTTCTGCAGCTAGTTAATACCAAAATACTCAAGAGCGGGAGGGAACGTGCACCTCTGGGAGATGGAAGTTGTGTTCCTCTGATAAAACTAGCTGTTGGATCAAAGGCAGAACAGTGCACGGGCTTAAACAGCATCCGTCCCCTAGCCAGCAAGGGGAACAGGGAGATGGTCAGATGAATTGTGGGAGCAGCTGCAGAAGGAGGCTCAACGGTTAGGTGCAGAAGCTTCCTTGTGTCTTTTCTGCCACTGAGGTTTTAAAACTTTAATTATAGTGGGCATGCCTACTAAGTGAATTTTTCAGTCTGCTTTAAGTTTTGTTCCTTCTTACTTGAGGGGCTTATAGCTAATTGGCTTATATTTTGGTGACTGTTTTGTGATTGTGGTGTTCCAGGTATAAGCTAAGAAAGCAAAAAACAGCCAAGCAGGTGAACCCTCAAATAAACAAGCTGCCTTTTTTTTTTTTTTTTTAAACCTTTTGTTTATAATCCTAATGAAACATTTAGTCTGACTAGACCAACCCAGTCATCTGCCGATAGGAAAAGTTCTGCCATATCAAGCTATCGAAAGTTTTTGTAGAAAAATGACTGTTCTATAACGTACAGAAACTGACTTTTCTTTTCATAATTTTTAATTTGCTCTTCCCTACTCTCTTCATTAGGTGGTTTGCAGCAACTCAGTTTGAGCCTCTGGCTGCAAGGTCTGCTTTTCCATGCTTTGATGAACCAGCATTTAAAGCTACCTTTCTAATCAAGATCAAGAGAGATGAGCAACTTTCCACCCTGTCAAATATGCCGAAGGTACTTATTTTTGTGGAGGATTTTTAGTAGTGCTATCCTCTGTGTAATCTCTTTAAGTGCTTTGCATTATGTTTCTGTTGTGATAATATCCAGCGGGTTGACTTGAGCGGGTAAGCTATAAACTGTATGACTTTATGAAGAAATGACCATCTCTTCCTCAAGGGCTTGAACTAAGTAGCTTTATAGAGGAAACCGTTTAATGCACTGCATAACGTAGGGATGTTACTGTAGGGACAGTTGAACGGCTACAGGAGGGATTCCTGTTGCATGTAAATGTATCACTGTCTATAAGGATTTTTGTTGTTGGCTGCAACAATCTCAAACGACCTTAAGAAATTGTTCTGAGGTTTCCATGCTTGCTGAGACTGCACATGTGCAGAAGGGTGGACTATATCCATCAGTAATATGTGTACCCGAGGAACAGTCTGTGAAAGGGATGCCTGGTCTGGAAGGCTGTGCGTTTAAGCTTCAACAAAAGGAAGTAGGGTATGAATAGGGACTCAGCTCTGAAATTTGAATGGGGGGTCTGAAGTCCCATCAGCTAGACCCTTGCAGCCAAAATCTTGTAAGAGCGTATCTGCATTTTATGTTGACCGTTAAGCCTTTGGAGATACCTTTAGAGAAACAAAATTCTTTTGGATAGTCTAGCGAGACTAACTCATTACCTATTCTGCCTCTGAATGAGGTCCCCTCTCATCAAAACCTTATCAGCATTTGTAACCTGATAGAAACTCATTAATGATGGTATTACTCTAACCAGTAATGGAAAAAACTACGTGCTTGGTGTTGGTGGGACATGTATGTACACAGCGCAATTAGCGTTCCAGAAGGCTGTCTTAAGGCTCAGGTGCTGATGTAGCTGTCCTGTTTTTGAAAACCAAGCTCATAACTGTGCCCATGTGAAATAATCTCTTGCTCATAGTGGGTGAATATGTAAGTACATGGGTTTGTGGTAATTCTCAACCAATGCTTCTGTAGGATTGCAGCACTGGTTTCCAGCCCTAAGAGTATTTTTATTTGCTGTTTATTTTCTTCACTGAAAGGATTGCAATACAGACTTAGCTGGACGACTCTCCTGTATTATGTAAACAAGGAAGGGTGCTAGCTCACTTTCCTCTGCTAGGAGCTGGATGTGAGTGGCTTGAGGCAGCTTTCGTAAAACTGCTTCGTAGTTTTTCATTTATAGAAAGCAAATCCATGATTTAACATTGTGGCATGCGTGAAGCAGACATTGCTGAACCAATTGCAAATAGTTGCTAAAAGTCTATTCCTTTCTTAAGCATACCTTCCACAAATGGTGAGTCCTCTGCAAGACACGTTTGCCACCCAAAATAGTTTTCTTTTTTCCTCTTCTGCTGCACTGCTTTACCAGCATAGACTTTCATAGAAAGTCGTTCCATAATTTGCTGCTACTGTGATCTTTACGTCTGCTGTTTGTTCTCTAGCTCATGGGCACGATTATAAGGAAGATGAGGAACAATACTCCGTGACAGTTTTCGCTCCAGTTGGGTCAGACAGAATTATCTGATATACCCTTAACATCTAGCCCCTTGGCTGCCAGCTTGGCTGAGAATGACTGGCAGATGGAGTGGAGGGGAAAATAACCATCCGTTCTGCTTCAGCTGTGGTTGGCTAGCTAAGAAAATAGGTTGGGGTTGATTCAAGAGTCTTTGCAGAGCAGGGAAAATTTCATAAAGTTAAGTAGAAGATGTGTATGGCAAGCTTTTATTCCCAGATCCTGTTGCTGTTCTACGGAAGAGGGTGATCCTTAAAATCACATGTCTTACTACAACTCTTTGCTTCCTTCTGGAAACGTCCTCATTTAGGGATTCTTATTTCCCCTTCAGAGGCTTGACCTGAGAAGCATTACCTGCCTGCTGTCTTTTAGGATATCTGTAAATGCCCCCTGCTCTTGGTGGTAGCCTTGTCCAGAAGAAAAAGCAATGGCTCTCACTACAGCAGCAGGCATGCCTGCTTCCTTGCCTTTCTCCCACCCAATGAGGTGGTACATCCCCACCAACCTGCCTTCTTTGGTAAACGCTTTGTTTGGTTATTTAATCTAGTCACTCCATTGGCTTCCCTGTCTTCTCCCTTGAGGTCTCGCAGATTTCCTATCTTTTGTGCAAGGCGTTTGTTCAACTTTGTGTGGACAGGAAGAAGTCATCTGGGGAACTAGTGCATTTGTTTGTGGCATCGGGCAAGGCTATGGGAGTTCAAGTTGTATCTTCCTGTAGATTTGCAAGTGGGTCATCTGATGCCGTGCACGGCGAGTGTCAGCAGCTATGAGCAGCGCTTTCGGCCTTCCCGATAGAATCTGCAGAGAAGCTACTTGGAGTTGCAGTTCCGTGTTGCCGAGAATTGTGGCTGGAATTCAGTGGCTGGTTCAACAAACGCGCCTGAAAGGGAAGCTCTGAATTTCTTTTTTAGTGAATTTCTTGTCTAGTTGTCTGAAGATCGTCCTGCGATTAATCTGGAACTAGCTGCCTCCCACAGCCTAGGGACACGTAAACTAACTCTGAGGAAGAAAGATTTATTTGCCTTACTCTTGGAACCTCCCATAACTTCTACCTTGCATTCCCAGTCACACAAAACATGCATCTGTGGGGCTCTGTGCTGAGGAGGGAGCTGTTCCCCACCCCCTCTGTCCCTGCTCAACTGGGAAGGCTGTTACGGAGCAGCTGGGGAGCCCTCTTGGTGCTGTCAGAGGGTACTGACGTTGTATACTTGACGTACACGCGCACCGCAAGTTGTCATCCACTTGGAGAAAACCTATTGAAGAGCTGCCTTTGCTGTAAGATCATTAACGCATCTCTCTCTTCCTCCGCTTACGTGCAAGTTTCTAGCTTTTCTTGCTGCGGAGTAGCATTCCTTGCATTGCTTTTGCAGTATTGTTTACAAGGAGATGGGAAGCCATCTGAAAATAGAGGTTTGGGAAATGTGACCTTGTAACCATTCTCCTTGTCGTGAACAGTGGGAGGTATTGTGCCTTTTTATCATTTTAAGCATTGATATTATGAATTTTCCCTATTACCTGCTTTAGCTATATAATTAGCTGTTCCTGAACTGGAAAGAAAGACTGCTTCCCTTGGTTTCAGCATGGTGCCGTAGGTAGAATAATTCTTCAAATGGTTAACGTCACTCCTGCACCCTAAATTCCTTTTGAGATGACATGAGGCCTCTTGTGCCTCTCTTTTTGGCTTTTTCATTCCTGCCATTGTTTGCCATACCATTTGCATTAGCTGCAGATCCGCTTCTTCCTGTTCTGCTCAGTTACCTGCAAGTGCTATAGGTACAAGCTGCTGCACTTCCTTCAAACTGAGATGCCTGCTACCTTCCTGTCTTGTCAGCCTTTTCCATCAAGGGGTTGTTATCTCTCTTGCCTGCGTTCTGTCTTGCTGCATAGTGGAGTCTCCTTCCCTGGAGATATTCAAAACCCGTCTGGATGTGATCCTGGGAAATATGCTCTAGAGGACCCTATTGGAGCAGGGGGGTTGGACTAGATGATCTCCAGAGGTCCCTTCCAACCTAAACCATTCTGTGATTCTTGCTACCTGACCTTTCTCCTGACATCCTGTTTGTCCATTCTTCTTGTCTGCAGAATCTGTTGAGATTTTTATGGTGAGATGTTTAAAAGCACATTAAAAATTATCATCTCCTCTTTTTCTGTGTTTTTTTATCTCTGCTTTAGAATTTGTTTGTGCCCTTATCTGTGTGATTAATCAAGATTTGAAAAGCTTCCAGTTGTTGAACAAAAAAGAAATCAAAAAGAAGACGTTAGCAGGAGTGAAGTTGTGTATTTAGTGCTGAGGATCAAGCACTGATCCTCAATTCAGAGGAACAAGTCGGGTTTAATTAAAACTTATCAAGAAGTAGTAAGAACATACAGAGCAAGTGAATTGATGCTTTTGCTAGTGCATAAACAGTACATTGAAAACGATTACCTTACACTCATCTGTGTTTATACTGCAAGCAATTTTGTTGTTTTTGTTGTTTCCCTCCCCCCAGCTCCTTATAATTTCATACTGTATAATTCTTCCTTTTGCTGTACTTACTCGTGACTTCCAAACGTGCAGTCTGTTAATGGTTCAGAAGTGGTGCCCTTGGTGTTACGCAGTTTGTCAAGAAAACTTGCTCTCCCTTGCTTGTGAATTACAAGAAAATCTTCTTAATCCAATTTCTGTGTTTCGTACAGTCACCAAAAAAACTGTAGAGCTTGTGCAAGGGTGTCTGAAAAAGTATGCGTCCTCAGTGACGTTCCTTGCATCAGTGAGTTCTCTTGTAACAGTACTAACACTTTACATACAAAATTTTTTTTCTTGGCATGTTTTTATGATTAATTTCACGTTTGTCCCTGATCCTACAAGTGTTCTTGCACTTGCCGAATTCTTAAATTTTATGCTTAGCCTGGAGTGAGTGAGTGTTAGGTAGCATGGTCTTCCAGTGCAATACTGTAGCTGACAGGAGTGAATTGATTCCTGGATGCATAAAGAAAGAAATAACAGATGTGAATGAGAGGATCATATTGTGCAGAAGTATAACGTTGCTGAGATCAGTACTAGGATAGGCCCACTTCTAAGAGTAAATACTTACTCTTAGAAGCTCTCTTATGGGAGGGGGGGAGGGGGGTACAAATTCCCCTGTAATAGCTGTCGGTCCTGGGAGTGCTATGCTGGATGGAGAGACTTAAGAAGATGAGGCTTTTTAGTTTATCCATGAGAAGGTTAAAGGGTGAACTTTGTCGTAGTCTGTGGATACCTGCATGGGCAGGAGATCTTAGAGGCAAGCCTTCTCAACTAGCATGTACACAGCTAGTATGGCAGCATAGAGTGGCTGACTCAAATTCAGGCTAGAAGTAAACTGTTGTGTTCTTGAATTTGGGTTTTGGGGAGGGGTTTTATTATTATTTGTTAACGAGAATAACTGACTTTGGAAACCATGTATTTGCAGCCACAGTAGATAGGTTATCTCCCCTTTATGAAGGAGAAGCTGTAGTAAAGACACAAGTTACGGATTTACTGAAGGAGTTCAAGAATGAAATTCTGTTCATATGCAGAGAAAGCATTATATTAGGTTCATATACAGAGAAAGCGTTATATTAGGTTCATACACAGAGATCAGGCTAGGTGATTTTTATTGATCCATTCAGGCCTAAAAATCTAGTCTGTTTCACCGTTGCAGTTGAATGTTTCACAGCAGTTGGATGTTGATCACTTTTGATCTAAAACAATCTTGTATAGAAATAGCTTTTTTTTTTTTAATGTTCGTGTGTTTTTATTTGAGTAGAAGCACTTTCTGGGAGTAAATGATGATTCGTTTATAAAGCTTTATAAGAAAGCATATTAGGCTTTTATATTGGGGGCTTTAAGGGTGAACCAAAAGAGATACGAGGTTTCTCTGCAACAATGGAATTGTCTAGTAATGCTGCATAATAAAAGCTTGACAGTTACTTTTGGGGTAATGCTTAAATGTTCCAGGTCTCCTCAAGTTATTAAACTATGAGTAATTTAGATGTGGATTGTGGGTCTTGTCGATCCCATCGAATGATAAGCAGACTTGCAGAACATCTTTACTTCTTGGTCATAAGCTGTTGCTAGCCGCTTGTGAAGTAATTCTGTAACTTACCACTGACTGCTTGCGTGTCTTAGTCTTTTGTTGCTTGCAACAATAACAGTATTTTCTTTCTACCTGCAGGAAGCCACTACTCCTGTGACAAATGGGATTGTTCAAGATGAGTTTTTTGTGAGTTTGAAGATGAGCACCTACTTGGTAGCCTTTGTTGTTGCAGACTTGAAAAACATCAGCAGGGAAACTAATGGGACTCTGGTATGTTTGTTCCCCTCAAAGTATCCTCTCAAAAAAAGCCCCTCCCCTCCAAAAAGCCTGCATGCTGTTTGCATCACGAAACCCTTTTTGCTGTATGAGTTCCAGGAGTGCTGCAGATATGCTCCTCTTTATCCTCAGGAGCCTGTTAGCTATATCCAGCCTCCCTCTCTTCCCCCCCCCCCCCCCCAATTTTAAGTCGATATTTACTCACTGGAATACACTGGTCTAATTGTTTTTTGTTTCGTTTTGGTGCCCCCCCCCCCCCGTTGTTCCGAGAATCAAATAATTGGTCTTGTTTAATCTTCGTCCTTTGCAGGGATTTGGTGCGCAGGGTCAGCGAGCAGTTCCTGCAATGTGTGCTTTTGCAGTAAATAAATTAAGAATGTGGTAATACTAAAAGATGCTCCTTAATCTTACTTATAAGAGGTGCAAGAGTTTCCTGTGAGCAGTCATTTTCATGGCTGTAGCAGGAACTGCCCCTTTGTGGTGATGTGTGGGAAGTGTCAGTACCTGCGCAGAAAAAGCCAGTTGAGTTAGTGCTAATAGAGCTTAAGAGGGAGAGGAAACTCTTTTCAAAAGCAGTACTGAGCATTGTTATCTTCTAGGCTAGCAAGATAATCTCATGGACTAAATATCTCTAATCCAGCATACAGAGGTAAAGCTGCTGGGTTTGTATCAACACGCTTTCCTTCTGACTTGGGCAAGTCATTGTAGTTACAACTTAGACTAAATACAGTTCATCCTACTAGCTTGAAAAACTGCATTTCGCCCTCTACCCTCGTGAGTACTCTTCAGCTCTTTAGTTAAACTCTTTCTTTCCTGGCAAAAGCATTTAGCCTGTCCTTTACCGAGGAGAATATTAGCCAGTGTACCAAAAGTTTCATGTTTGCAGAGAGGCTGAAGCAATTGTGTGTGTGATATGCTCTTCTGTGTTCCTAATAGTGAGCGTAACTTGCATGGATTGTCAGCGTTTTCACGTCAGTATTTTAGAAGTATTCATGGCAGAGTAAAGCATGTAAGAGGGAAAGGAAGACTGAATGATATATTGAGACTGAGGGAAGGTGGTTCCTACATGTGCCCTTCCTTCGTTCTGACTACTAGAAGCAATAAAAGGTGAGGAGAATCACAGGGGTTTCTGAGCCCCCTAAGACTTAACCAAGCTAGGGAAGTCCAGCAGAGCTTAGAACGCACCCAGGCACAAGGGATCTAGCAATGTATAGGAGTGCTTATCAGCTTTACGAGAGACAGCATAAGAGTAATCACAGCAAGTCAGGCCAAAGTCTAGGTGGTGAGGTGTTCTGCTGCCAACAGTGAGTAATAGGCCAGGGGAGACTGAGACTGTAAGAAGAGGGCAGGCGTATAACGATGTTTTTCTAGAGATGCGGTCTCAACTTCCAGCAATTTGTGGCCTGCAGAGTCGAAGAATCTGAACTAACCAGTTCACGTAAAATAAGCTTATTGGCATGGCTGTTATAATGACAAGCTCAGGCTTAGAGTGTGTAAAGTTGCTTTGTGTTCATAAAGTAATAAGCTTTTTTCCCGACCCTGAAAGATTCCCACATGACTTTTTTTGTTTGTTTTTGAGCTTAAAATTTGCATCTGATAAGGTTTTGTACTTTCAGCAACACTAGATTAAATCTCTACTGGTACGTGCTTGGTTCTGATCTGCTCAGTAGTTAAAAGAGCACCCTATCTGTCTAGTTGAAATGTTGTTTGTTCCCTGACGCATAGCCTAGCAAGAGGGGGCCAAATTAAGGTTTTTGGTTTTGCTTTGTTTTAGTGGTTTTGTTGATTTGGGTGTGTGTGTGTTAGAGCTGAAAATAGAAAGGGGAACAGAAAAATTAGTCTCAACATATTTTGTGTATGAAAAGACATCCTAAATCTGGGTGAACAGGGATCTTATAATCTAATCAAAGTTCTTACTGTTGTAGCCACTCTGGTGTGAATGGAGGAGGACCTGAAATTCTCAACTTTTTTGAAAGCTTCTTACACTGAATCTAATGTGGCCCCTACCTTAGAGGAATGGATGAACTTGGTGGAAATCATTAGTCCTTGAATGAGTTTCTTGCAGATGGTATTAGTTTTGTCTTAGTGATACCTGAAAATTACAAATGAATCAAGGTTTGCCAGGAGGATCAGTTAATAACTCATGGGGTGTGGAAGGGGAAATGGATGAACTTCTGTTGGCGCAGGCCCTTCCTGAAGACCGTCCTAAAGGTGTCATAAAAGGGCCGATAGCCTTGCACTGTCTTTGCCTGCACTGCTGATAATTGGATAGTCTGTATGTTCTTCAACTGATAATAAGCTCTGGCAACAATCTTCAAAGACAGCTTGAAAATCTGTATTTGCATCTTTTGTCCCCCCCCCCCCAAAAAAAAAAGTGTGCCCAAGAAATTGGTCCTGTCCGTTCTGGGGAGTTCTCTCTGCTTTTCTTTTCCTTATAGAGCTTTTGTGGCTGTACATTTTGAAATGTTTTCTCTTCTGTTTGGACTAGGTCTCCATCTATGCCGTACCGCAGCATCTAAACCAAGTTGGATATGCTCTAAACACAGCAGTGAAGCTTCTGGAATTTTATCAAAAGTACTTTTTAATAAATTACCCTCTTGAAAAATTAGGTAAGGCCTTTCTGACTTCCCTTTTTTTAAAAAACAGGAAAAAGGAAGCTGTAATCAGTTCTGACCAATACAGGGAATTTTTCCTTTCTTTAAGAAGTGCTAACAAAGGTAGATAGCATAAAACATCCCTCAAATGAGGGGTACCTAAAAATTATTTTTAAAATCGACTAAATCTTCCCACGCTGGAAAACTGTGAGCTTTTTGACTCCAGATTGTTTAGATTTGTATGTGACATCAGAGGAAGAGTTCAGTTAAACATGATGCCCTTGGATAGGGAGATGCAAAATTCTCAGTCTGCGAGGCATGCGTACCTGTCTGTTATCTGCAAGCTGACTTTTCTGTGTGTCGGACTGGGAGAGTTCTTAAATGCCAGTCTTTTAAGACTACCGCCTTCAGTAGTGGCAGGAGCAATTCCTGGTTACTTGTGTGCATGCAAGACCTTTTGACAAGGTTTGTGTACTGCTTTGAAGATGTTTGTCGCAGAGTATTGCTAGAGAAACATGGCTATAAATCTACAGGGCAGCTTCTATGTTTGAAACATGAGCCACAGGGTTTAAATAATGAAGTTTTTAGGGCTTGTATGCAATGCCATAGGTAGACTTGAAATACAGAATTGCTTTAAATAAGTTTTCAATAGTAACAATAGCTTCTTTCAAATTTTTTCCAGATCTGGTAGCTATTCCTGATTTTCAGTCAGGTGCTATGGAAAACTGGGGCTTGATCACCTTCCGAGAAACAACTCTCTTATATGACAACAAAACCTCTTCAGCAAAAGATAAAAAGCTAATAACTGCAGTGATAGCTCATGAGCTGGCCCATCAGGTATTGGATTGGGGAGGAAGTCATTTAATTGCTTTAAAAAAAAAAAAAAAAATCCTCTCGCATTTTAATTCCCCTCCTGCTCTCGCTGTGACTATGGTGCATGTTATATCTGTTCAGAATGCTGCATTATTTCTAATGCAGAAGGCAGAGTGCAACTCTTTACGATCCACTTACTGAGGTGTTCATACAAAAGCGTTACTGTGGTTTTGACTAAACTCTCTTTTTGGCACGAGATCCTTTACAAAGCTGAGGATGAATGGAGTGTCGCTGTACTCATTTGATTACGTTATTTAATCGATTTTAGTGAGCATTTATCTCATTTATAGAGAAAAAGGATTATGTTTTTGGTCTGTCGTAGTGGTTCGGCAACCTAGTAACTATGGAGTGGTGGAACGATCTTTGGCTGAATGAAGGATTTGCCACTTTTATGGAGTACTTTGCCATGGAGGAGATTTTTCCAGAATTACATTCAGTAAGTACTTTATATGACTAGTTTTTTTGTATCTTCACCATGTTCTGTTTTTTAATACTGACCACAAAGGACTGATAGTTATGAACTCACACTGAAATTTACTTTGTGCCCCATTTGAATTACGCTATATTTCTTCTTCTTTGACACTTCAATGATATTAGAGATAATGTCTTTTTTTTTTTTTTTTAAATGAATGTTGGTTTTCTCTAACACTTGTTAGTGAAGAGGTAACTAGAAATGTGCAGAAGTGGTCTACGCACAATCTTTGTTTATGTTCGCTGAGATATTCTCTGCAACATAATGGTCATTAAAAGCTATGTCTGTGTACCAAATTGGAACTTAAAATCAACGTCCTGAAAGTCCAAACACGTTGTTGGCAAAGTTTGTCAGTTTTCACTTTTCCTAGTAGATTTAGGCAGCACCAGGGCTTTAGATTACCAAATATGCCTGGAGTCATTCCTGTCTCGTCATCCTCTTGGTACGTGCTCGTGTCTAAACCGGTCTGGGGTTCGGAAACTGGGGACTTGATCTAATAACATGTTACGGGCCTACCCAGTGGATTCTGATAGCTTTGAATTACACTGATAGTACAAAGCGCTAATCCCACAAGTGCTTCTCTTTATAAACATGGGTGAAGGAACAGGAAACTTTTTGATGTAATAACCTAATGATGATTTAAAAACTTACTCAGGAACTGAGTGACCTAACTTTTCCGGCTATGGATAACATGAGGGCTTCAAATATAGCCTTTCACCTCCAAGGAGAGGACACCAGCTACTGTGGCAAAGTGGCTCTATCAGTGAATAAAGGCAGAGAAAGGAATGCTGGTGGGACTGAAGGGAGAGAGCAGCACAGAGACTAAATTTGCCTCCTGATATAAAGGTACTCCTCTAGGAGAGGAGAGTTCTAGGCTCTGCTTCCAGGACTGCTTATGCAGTTTGCGTTAGAGAGTCACTAGGTAAAAAGCCTAAGTGGTACTTCCGGTTTCCTGCACGCTCGTTTGGGCCCTTCTCAGCATCCTGGCTGCTCGTTAAGAGCTTTTCAGCATCCAGAAGGAACCTGGGCCGATAACTTGATTGGGTAAATTTCTTTCCTGGCGCTGGGTGTTTAAAAGGTTGTTCATTTGGCCTGAGTTTGTTAATTGTGTTGATGCCTGCCTGAAAGTGTGATTACGTAGATTCTTTTTGTTGGGCACATACATAGTGAGGGGAGGACACAAAACTGGTCTGCTGTTTAAAAAGGACACGTTTGTCATACAGCGTGCATGTGCTTCATTCGGAAAGCTGCCTGACAAACTGCCTTCACCTACATCTCACTTCACCACATGGTGGTGCCAAAAAGTGTTTTATTAAAAGTAAAAATTCACTCAGAACTTCTGCATTCAAAGAAAATAGCTCTAAAATGTTAACGTTTTTAAAGAGCATCTTGATTGTCTTATATGCTGGTGTTTTGGGGTGGGGGTGTGGAGTTGGGTGTTTTGTTTTGTTTTTTCCCCTCTTCTCTCTCCCTGTAACGTGGTAAGATCCGCTCCTGCTCCGCAGAAGCTGTACAGAGAAGTAACGTGCTCAGCTTTCAATGAAATAGAACGTACAAATACCAGTATGATCAGCTTCGTTAATAGTAGTTTAAATTCCTAGTGTTTGGGGATGGGTAGTTCTGGTGACAACGTATTCATTTCAGATATCTTCATCCTAGAAGGAAAGACAGAAGTAACTTTGGTACTAGGATCATTAGATAAGATAGTGTTCACATTCACACAGACATCACTGTATAGTCAATACTGTCACTACAGGCTTCACTTTTTAACATTTAAAAAAAGGACTCCTTTAGTATGCTTTATAATCTTGGCTTCTCATAAATGGACTGAAAACATTTTGTGCCAGATCTGAAATTTGGTGGATACTTGCTTGTTTATTAGCTACATGTATTTTCTCTAGTGCTGAAGATATTTTTAGCTGGGACAAGGGCTTGAGGGTCTGGCTTACGGTGCAAACTCAAGATTTAGATTCCACTGCTAAAAATCCAGCAGGAAAAGAGTAGATGTCACAAGCGGTACCCTGACGATACTTTTGCTGCCTCCATTGGCAGGATGGTTAGCACGCTTTTCCTAAGAGCACAGAAGAGCAGGCTGCTATGCCAGATTAACGGAAGAGAAGGACAAAGACAAGTTGTATTCTTCTTCTTGCCGTGTATGTTCTCGCTTCTCAGATACGTATAAAGGTTTCTCTTCTAGGATGAAGATTTCCTAAATCTGATTTTCAAGGCTATGATGAAGGATTCCTTGAACTCTTCGCATCCACTCTCTTCCACTGTTCAGTCTTCAGAACAGATTGAAGAAATGTTTGATGCGCTTTCTTATATAAAGGTAACTTCAAAAAATCTTTGGAAAGTGATGAGCCATAGTAAGTATGGATGTGGGACTGTGAGTAAGTAGGCATATGCTGACAATTGTTTTGGGGTAGTTTGCGCATAGCACCAACAGTCTTGTTCCTGAGGATGTTTCCGTAATGTTTCTGAGCAGCTACATAATCTTTCATTAGGAAAATATTATCTGCGCATATCTGGGTGCTTACATAATATTCTTCTGCTTGGTGCGTGCTTCAGCACAGAAATAAAATACTCCAGAAAGCATACAAAGGGACATGGTGGGCAAAACAAAATGTCCAACGAGCGATATAGTCTGTCTCTGATAGCAGACTGTAACAGATGCTTAAGAAAAAAGGCACGCATCGAAACAGTTTGTCCTCTTCGTAGTCTCCCTCCTTTTAAAAATCAACATTTTAGATAGTTCCTGAGGTGGAGATTTGCATCTGCAATTTCAGTGTGACAGCATACCTGGTTATCTGCAACCTGATTATATCTGTTTTCAGTGTACAGCGAGGTTTGTACGTGAAGTTTCTTTTTAAAGCTTTGCTGTGCCTTACTCAGAAAAACATGATGAGAGCAAATACTTGTATTTGCCAAATTCTGACTTGTATTGGCTCAGTCTTTAGATACGGCATCCTATGCTTTTGGGAATATTGGAGGAAAGCCTTCTCTCTTTTTCTGGGTTCTCTCTCATTTTTTCATGCAGTTTATATGTTTGTATTGTCATCTAATAAGAAACCTTGGAGACAGCAAGTGCTCACTTGAAAATAGTCTAATGCTGCATCTTCCTCTACTCTGTGCAAGGCAGCTCCCCCGGCTGGTTTTGTTTCTCCTCCCCCTTTTTTTTTGCAAGACTTAACAGCTCAGCGTGTTGTCTGGCATCCCTTGGTAGTCTGAGAAGCTGAATAGAGTACTTACAGTTGTGATGTGCTTCTGCTTTTCTCTTGTTCTGTTTTCTGAAGTACAAGAACAGAGCTGTGTGATTTTCAGCTTACCCTTGCCTGCAAAACGGATTTGTTTTCAGTCCCTAAAAAGGGACTACGTATGTCAAAAGACATGACATATTTCATTCTTCAAAGAGGCAGTTGCGGTCTCAAGTAGTTCCCTTTTTTGGGGGCTTCTGAAAGCTACAAGCCTTGCACAACTGCGCTTGTAGCGATGTAACTTAAGAGAGAAATTTGTCACTCTCTGACCAAAGCTCTGTATAATTTCAGTAGAAGTATTCTAAAAGTGATGGGACCAGAGTTTCAGTCGATTAGTAAAACATTACGTTAGGCCGTTTCTACTAGCTTACTGCTATCAAATCTTTCTTAAGGGTCTTTGTGTGCACGTTCTGGAGGGAGATGTAACAACCTAGCTCTTTAAGTTTAGGAGGTAAAGACGTTTTGGCCTTGCGCTGTAAGAAACAGGTTTCTCTTTGCTCCTCTGCTCATTGTGGAGGCTTTAATTGCGTTGTTTTTTCATTCGTACAGGTCATCTTTGTATTCCCACTACTCTTGACCCTGTATCTCGGCAATTTGAGTAGGCAGACACTCACAGTGTAGTCCCTAATCAGCTCATGGGGGCTATTACTGAATTTCACAGCTTGCTTCGTTTTTACTCCCAAGTGACAGAGATGAATAGATCGCCTCTACGTTTTATTGCTCTGGAATAGAAATTGCTATACGAAATTATTTTAGCCTGGTGGTTTTGCAAATTACCGGTATCCCTAATGCTCAATGGTGGGACAGCAATCTAGCTGGTGTAACAGTGGTGTTTGGGAGTATTTGACAGTAAGCACTCCTGAGAAAAACCACAAAAAGTAGAGCTATAGCTTAAATATGCACGCGTGCAGGAAAGGAACAAACGTTCATATTCTTCAAGCTTATGATAAGGGGTATTCCTACTGTTTCATGAGTAGATTAGATTAACGTTGTTCAGGCAGACTTCAGCTTCATGCAAGATGTTACTTGAATGCCCAGACTTTAATTTGGAGTCTATGAAAACCATACATGCCCTCATGAATATCTTGCCTTCGTTGTTTTCTTAATCCTTTCTCTAAAACATGTTTTAGTATCAGAAATGTAAAGTATGCCTTTAAACTTTTCAAGGACTATGACTGCTCATCTGCAGTCAGTTGTACAGCGTGCAATTCTTCAGGCAGTTTATTGATTAGTGACACTGACGTAGGAGTGTTCCTGGAGAAGGACAAGGGCTTGCTTTCAACTATGTAAAAGCACCTTTCTGGCTATACATTCCTGGCCACTTTGAAACTGTAATTAAAGATTATATTCAACGTTTTGCAGAATTGGCTACTCAGTGCGCTTGTTTAATAAAACATGCGTGTATTTAAACATTGTCAAAATACACTGCTACTTTTAATTCCAGCTTACTAGTGTATCTCCCTCTGCCATCCGTTTTAGTTTTTTGATTTAGCTGCAAAACACGTAACTGTCAAACACCACGTGTCGCAAGTGCAGTTCTATACCATACAGATGAGTATTGCTAATGAAGTACGACAGCCAGCAGAAAGACTTCAGTAAGAAAGCAATATATTTTAGATGACGATAACGGAGATAAAAAATTCAAACTGTATTAGCTTTTTTATTTTCTGTGTTTGGAGCTTTTGAGATATCCAAAAATATTTTTTCCCAAAGCAACTGGATGTTAAGATAATTATTCAGATGATATTGTTTGGGATAAAATCTGCCAGCTACTGAGTTGCTCTTGTACTGTAACAGTGCTATAGTTTGTATATGCTTCAGCAAATTCTGTAACTTCCCTTTGACTTACTTTTTTTTTCCTTTTTTTTTCTTCTCGAGGGGGCTTCACTTCTGTTGATGCTGAAGCACTATCTCACTAAGGATGTTTTCCAAGCTGGCGTTGAGGTATATCTGCGTAATTATAGCTATGGATCCACCAAGAGTGATGACTTGTGGGACAGCATGAATGAGGTATCCATCTTTGATGCTCTGCTCGTGTTTTTCACGTGTGTGTTGTGGATTTTGATTTATTTCCTCGTTCATAAAGAAAAAAGGTAATACACCACAGAGAGATACTTGAACGCTTTTTCTTGTGGCAGTCCTGAATTCCATCATACGGAATCTTCATTCTTGTAGCTTCTAGGAGTCCCTTCTGTAGCATTCCAGAACCTCTTGGAAGTGGGTATGTACCACGTGGGAACACGTCAGCGTCTCTAGAGTTCTGCTGTTAGTGTGTGAGGGCCGGAATAAAACCGCTCATCTCAAGTGTGGGATCAAACTTTAGTTCCATGCAACAGATAAATCCAAATTCCTTAGAAAGCATTTACGTCTTGGATGCTCGCTGCTTGTGTAACTTTATTTCAGTGGTAGCTTCTGTTTCAGTGAGTGGAATTGGAATTGTAGGAAAACAGACTGCCAGGAATCATCGAGTCCAGCAGCTCTCAAATGGAAAGGAAGGCCTGGAGCTGTGCTGGAGTAAAGCGTGTGTTCTAGTCTTCCCTATGCCAGTTAAATCGTTAGTATTATCGTGGGTTAAGACCTTCGGTTTCCTTTTGGGTTACTTTTCCATATTTATTGGATTTATTAAAAATGTATGGTACTCAACAATTTGACGGGTTCTTCTTCCTTTTGTTCCTGTTGTTCAGGTCAAAATTGAATATAGTTGAAAATTTCAACCATAAAAACAGCCTTTTCTTTGGTCATAGATTTTGCTGTCTGTAAAGCAAAAAATCCATGATCGGTTTCTTAAGTCTTACCTTCCCACAGAAGTTGGGAGAAGCCGTAATTGGAGGGGAGATGAGAAACTTGCAGCAGCATTAAAAGAAAAATCTGTAACACTGCAAATAAACTTTCTGTCCACCTCATCTGGAAGGAAGGGGAAAGAAATAATTCTCATAGGTTTTGTCCTGCTTTCACTGGGCCAAGGAGCTGCTGTGGTGTTAAGAGAAGATATGTCAATAAAATCAATCATTGCTGTGGTGAAAATACAAACCTGTCATTTCTAATAGAATTAGTTTGATTTGATTTGTGAAAATGACCCTCTACAGGTACTACTGTTCTGATGAGCTAAGGAGGGAGGTTCAAAAATAGTTATTCGTGGAGAATCTGTTTAATCTGTTTTCCTCCTCCCCTTTCCCCCCCGTTACACAGATTACTAATGGAACACTAGATGTAAAAAAGTTAATGAAAACCTGGATTCTGCATAAAGGATTTCCTTTAGTGACTGTTGTTCGAAAAGGAAAGAACATCTCTGTACAACAGGAGAAATTTGTATATCGTGTGGAGCCAGAAAATTGGACGTCAGATGCCAGGTTATTACCTCCTCATTACTTTCTGCCCGTAAAAATCTATCTGCAGATTTATATGTCTTTCCCATTTGCGTTCAGGGGGTCTCTGAAGGTAGTCAGTAATAAAGAGAACGTAGCACAGAAACACAGGCTTCTAATATCTACCTTGAAAAATACCTGATGGTCCTTGTCTGTTTCCACCTTGGCAATTGGTGAAACTCTGTGGCCTTGCCTCATAAATTGAATTTATTTACATGCTTTCCTGAAGCTTTTGAATTCGACGTGATGAGTTGCAGTAACTGGTAGAATGAATTGTTCAGCTCTCTCAGTATCAAAAGGCAGATCTCTCGGGTAAAGTTTTTTCTTTTAATTTCGGCAAGTTTTGTGTGGTTAATGGGAAGCTGAAAGGAGGGCGGGTTGAAGAAGTTACAGTTGAAACACTATGAAGAAAGAAGAGCATATGACCTATTTTAGAATCTCTGCTTCTTTCCGTCAGTATTAAGTGTGTGCCTTGGTCCTTGTTGGAGGAGAGCATAGAAGACAGAATCAATGCTTTTTTGGTTTAATGTTTTTAATATAGCACTCATGCATGATAATAGCCGAATATGTGAGGGGTAATGTCCACTGTACCAAAGAATAAAGGGAAATAGATAAGTAAACACTGAGGAAATAAAGATGAGGCAGTGGATGATAATTGCAAAACTGATTTTACTGCAAATTTGCCTAATATCGTGAAACTTAACTGTATGTTGCAGTAGTACATAAGTTTGAATCTTTTGCAATATTAGTGTTCTTATTTAGCTATTTGAATTGTTGATGGGAACTGAAATCTTAATGGGACCTGAGTCCTTTGCATCATCTTACAGAATCGTTCCTGAGAGGAATTTCCCTCTTGAAACGTTGGAAGTTACAGGACTTTGTTTTATTTTTGTTGTGGGGAAGAAGGTTTAACCATGTCTGGTTAAAAGGTTAGGGAAGAAAGGAAGGATTGTTAGGCTTAATTCTTCTTCTAACAGATGTCATTTTGGGGAAAGTGTGAAAATCTTTTCAAGGAGAGAGTTCTGTGTGAATCATTCACAGAAAAGGTCCGTGTCAAAATTGGAATGCATATCTATAATTTGATTTGATATCTCAAATTACGTATTTTTTTCTTAATAGTCAAATTCTTATCATTACAATGCAAGTTAGCATTTACTCTTCCAGCTTGCAGTTTGCTTGAGTCTGTCTTGATAGTATGCAATCTGTTACGGTTTCTGTTAGCATGATTTGGAATTGTAATCGTGAACTTGAATAACATCATTTATTAAAAAAAAAAAAAAACAAAAAAAAAACCAAAACAAAACCTGTAAAACTTCAAGCAGACGAAACAGTGAATTGAGGCGAAAAGAATATTGGCTGAATATCTTACGTGGCCAGAGATTTCCTGTCCATATGACTTCGGAAAACCTACTTAGGACGTTGGGACTGAGGAAGAAGTACTAGGAATCTTTTCTGCCTCCCAAAGGTGGTGGGAATAAAAAAAAAATTATTGTTGCGCTTAGATATTGTAGTGGTATGAGTTGAGTATATACTTTATCATGTTTCACAGGATGTAGTGGTTCCACTGCTATTAATCTATTAAAATGCTTAAACGGGGAAAAAATAACAATACAAAGATTAATCTCTATATAATATGTCAGTAAACATTTGCTTTCCTTTGCAGTTATCTGTGGCATATTCCTCTCACCTACATAACTAGTAACTGCAACTTTACCCATTGTACTAATGCATATTTACTGGACCAAAAGTCAGGTATGTGACTCAAAAGTAACTTGCTTTTTATAGGTTACTTATCTTTCTCAGCACACACTTAAGATATGAAGGCAAGGAGATATGTAGTGCAAAATAATTTCAGAGACTGTAACTGAGAACAACGCGTCTTAATTGCTGTGGTAGGCTTAACAGCTTTTCACTTTCCATATATACATCTTTTTCACATACACTTTTTTCTGCAGTAGAAATATGAATCCTAAAAAGTTAATCTGTGTGATTTTTTTTTTTTTGATTCAGTCCCGTTTTTTCTCTTCCCCAAGCAATTAGTTACTATACAGTTTTACTCAGTGTTGGGCTAAAATCACGTTGGCCATCTCTGTTGGGTCCACTGACATCAATAGGTCTTTGGTGTTTTATTAAAGCTGATGAGCTGTCTCACTGTCATACATCTGCTGTTGTATCTTTTTCTCCCCCGTTAAATTTACTATTCAGTGCGTTTACCTGACACAATTATTTTTAATTCATAGACATACCTGCCACATGTGCTGTTTGAAATAAAGCTATACAAAATTAAAATCAAATGCTTAGCGCTGAACTTGAAGTTTTTACTGTTTGCTAAATTCACAAACTTCTAGCCCTCTGAAATGGCTTTGGAAGCACTGCAGTTAAAGTAGATAATGTTATTTGTTAATATCATTGTGATGCTGCTTTTACCAAGTGTTCCAAGTCTTTTTGCCTTTTGTCATTTGAGCTGAAGGTTTAGAAAGACTTTTTACAGATTATCAGAATGGAAAAACAGAGCTGTTTAATTGTATGAGTTCTGGACTTTACTAAAACTAATGGGTAAGTAACCTGATTTCTTTAGTATTGTTTGACCTGTAAATAGCTCTGCTGGTGGTCTGGTTTGTCATGTAAATTTGGCACTCACTGCAGGAACTTGAGTGTGGAGGCTATCAGAGTAGCAGAGGTGTATAGAGGACAGTTTGAGGTGGAATGGGATTGGTGGGATATTTATTGCACCTTAATGGCATTGCAGGAGCCTACAGATGGACATTTTTGATAGTAGTTATATAATCAACTGAAATGAAGAATTTTGCCTCCTTTATCCCAAAACTTCTTTCTCGCATTTAATTGGTCTTTGGAACTAGAGCGTGGCCTTTCATTCACTTGATGCCATCCCAGTTTCTCTGTCGTGTGTCAGTGCTCTCTGTGTATATATGAAGGTGGGCAGAGAGGAGAGGATGTAGTTTGAAAGGAGTCCTGGACAGAAGGAGGGAAATTGCTTCTTTACATGATAGTCATCGGCCTTTGTTTCTGAAGGTGTGTCTACACAACGCAGCTCAGTTTGTAGCCTGGCTTCCTCAGTGGGCTAGTTGGCTTTGCTTACAACTATGCTGTAAGCCAGCTGATTTTGAAGCATCAGCTCACTAAATACAGTCTTGCGTTACACTTGGAGACATAGTCTATATATAGCTGTATGCAGAAAACTCTGTATCTGCTTTAAAAAAAAAAAAACAACAAAGCAAAAAACTTACCAATTAGACCTGTTAGTAGTGTCTGATTTAATGCAATGTTCCCATCACTTTAAAAAAAAAAAAAAAAAAAAGAAAAAGAAAAAAAATCATCCAGCTTGTGGAAGCTGTTCCACACACACTGTTCCAAAGCCAACTGTCTCTTTAATAGCATCTGCAGCTTGATTGAAGTACTTTAACTTTTTTTCTGTCACTGTTTGTGCAGGCTTCATGGGATCACTTTCACATAAGGCGCACAAGCCGATAGTCCGAGGAACTTCAGTGTTTAAATTCCATTCCTTATCTCTTGGTTCTAATAAATAAAGTATTAGTTTATCTATCAACAAAAAAATCCATGCTGAAGTGTGAGGGTACTGACAAACACTCAGCAACTTTGTGACTAGCACAGCTCATAAAGATATAAATGTGATTGTAGGTTGATGTATATAAAGAGGAACATAACTTTGCTGGTAAGGTTCAGTGTTTGAATTTTAAGTATTCATAGCCAGGTAAGCCAGTTTATACATATAAAAGTGTCACAGGATATTCACTTCTTGCTGTGTTAACTTTAATTGCTGTAGTCTACCTAGGTAGACTATCTCAAGCGGTCAAAATGCTGCTGCTATTGTGAACGTCCGTAAATATTTTGTGTGTGTGTCTGTGAACGCAGGCAGATATATATGCGCACACATGCACAAAGCCAAGCGCTATTTTGCAAGTTTGTAACCAAAGAACTGTATCTTAAGCATTTGCACAAATGCAGCAATTATATCAAATTCTAAACATCATAAAATGTCATCAAGAAACAATTAAAGTGGAAGTAGATGTAGAAGTGTCATATAAAAGTTTTTTCTGTAGAAATTTTTGTTTGAAAATAGCACTTACGTAAGAAAACAAAAGTATAAATAATTATTCCAGAGACAAATGAAGCTAAAATTGGTTTTGCAAGTGCAACGCAGCAAAGCAAAATGCATATACCGTTCCACTTCACCATGCTGCTTAGTCACTAAATTAATTGTAAAGGCCACCGATGTTTGAGTCCTAAAAGCTTTTAAAAATGATGACTCTGAATGAAATCTGATCAGTTTTTACTAACTCTGAGATGACAGAGGTCTTCCAGAACTGGGAAGAGTGCAGTCGTCTTGTTCATGAGACTTCACAGCTGAAGCCTAATCTTGAATTGCAACAGGCCGAAATGTTTGGAAATCTTGTATTCAGTCAACCAAGACGCTACTTTCTTTAAACTTATTTCCATATTTTTACAGTGTTTCTCATTAGGTATCTTTATTTAGTATTTAAAAAGTGAACACTGAAACAAGATTTTTATTTTTTTCAGAACTCCATCGACTTTTTTTCTCCCAAGTAACTCTCCTTTCCCCCCCCCCCCCCCCCCCATGAACGATTCCATAAAGCGGTGGGGCTTCACGATGCATCTGAATATTCTAATGAGAAATGGCTCCATCGGTTGTTGCGGATGTGGTTTCTTTATTTGTCTCTGTCTCTTTCTTTTGTTTGTTTGTTTATCTCCTCCTCCTCTATTTTGGAGTTCCTACCCTTTTTCTGAAACTCTAATCTGGAACGCGAGCTATGGCTACCTCAGTGTTCTTGGGCCTGAGATGCACCTGTGCTCTTACTCCTACTGTCTTCTGGTTGAGTTCATTAGGAGGCAACAAGATAGGCAGCAGTGAACAGAGGTTTTTCCCTGATGGTGATTAGATCTTAGCACGCCCTGGTGCCCTGCTTTTGTTCATGTCAACAAAATGTTAGTGTCCTCTGTTATGTGATGTAAACGCAGCTGCTTGTATGACAACAGTTGTAAATAAGTCACCAGTACTGCCGCCAGATCCGCATATATACTTCCATCACATAGCTGAGTGAATTTACCAGGTAACTGATACATGTTTCCTCATATGACAGAGGAAGGCTTTTGAGCCCTGGGAAGAGTAAACCACTGCCCACCAGAACGTTCATTCAGCTCTTTACTCTTTCATCATCCGTACCTGAATAACAATTGGGAAAGGGAATGACAGTGAGTAGCCGAAAGATGTTCTGGTCAGTCGTTTCTTGCCGTTACTGGACTGAAACAAAATACGTGTCCTGAGGCTGCTTTGCTCTTGGACTGTTGACGTGTCATGTAAAGTTCGTCAGTATTTTGTATTGGACCGAGTTCCTCTTTGTGCCTGTGTGTGGTGATGGCTCTTATCTCACAGTTGAACTCATTCCCTTTGCCGTGAGATCTAGTGGCACATTCTAGCCCTTTACTAGGGTACCTTATACCTCATCTGTAGGATCTTAATAAGAGGGCAGCAGCTGAAGGCGAAATAGTTTTGCAGCTTAAATAGCTTCTTAGTGAGAGTCCTTCATGCAGGCTTTGACCATTTTTCTTGAAGAAGGCTTTGTCTGAAAAGGTGCGCGACAGGCCGCTTCTAGGCACCATGAGACTTGTGTTCAGCAATTCTAAATGGGATTTAGCTTGTGGCTTGATAATGCTACAGCAGTCCTGCAGTCTTCACGACCTTCCTGTGATTCGATCATATCTTGTCACACAGTATTGTAAGCCTCAGAAATCCAGGTCACTCAAATAATGTTAAGTGTCTAGATTTTTATGCCCCTTTGGAAGGGTGACACTTAAGACAGCGTGTGCATATTTAGTATGAAAGCTCCTACTTACGAATTTGCCTCTTGTGCGTAATTCAGAGTTCTTTATAACTTGCTTGTTGCTGTCCTTTCTTGCTACCTACCTCTTTGATCGGAAAGCATACTTTCATTTTGAAACTTTCATGGTTTAGCCCTTCTCTGAATCACCCAGTGTTATTACTTAATGAGGTCTCTTACACGTGTGAGCTTAGCTGTACTGAATAAACTACAGTGTGTAATTGCCTAATGTGACTCAGGTGGTAGCTGAGTTGATTCTTGAACTGTCTCTTTGTGATTGCTCTGTACTTCAGGTATGAAAACCTGAGTAACTTAGGTTTCTGCTGAAACGTAAAGCCAGCCAATGGGAAATGGGTGCTCTGGTTTCCTTGAACAAGTTACCTGGCATGATGGAAAATTTGCTGAGGATGTAGCCATCAGTTTTTAAAAATAAACTATTGCCATATTGCAAATGCCTTCCAAGTAAAGCTAACGCATCAATAAAAAGTACGCACATCTTTTTGGGGGGGCTTGTTTTTGCTTTTTGCTTTAATTTTGCCACTGTGATTTCTGGGTGAGGAAAGGGGAAATAAAGGGACTTGGCATACTTCCGTACTTCTACAGTAGTACTTGATTAGCTAGGTTTGCCTTTTGTCTAATTGTTTTTGGTGTTAGGTTCACTGGTGGAATACAAAATAACTGGCACACCATGACTGTAGCATATTATTGCTCACTTTATTCACGTTCTCATCATGCCTGAAGTTTGATTTGCCATGTTGAAATAAGCTTGTCTTCATCTCCAGCATAATAAGCTGTGGCCCATTTATGCCATACAGCCGTCATGAACTAAAACCTCTCTCTCCTCAGTTTCTAGGTAGCGGAGCCTCCCTATTATAGTTGTCCACTGTGTTGTGGCTGCAAGGCATATATGTGCGTTATTTGGTTTCTATTCTTCTGTTGTGTTTTAAAGTGCGTAGATAGATCCAACTGGGAGTAGACTTTGATGCTGTTCGTTCAATCAGATCCAGCATTGAAGGAGGAAAAGTACAAGCCAGAATTTTGGCGCATTCACCTGGAACAACGTGGCTTTTACTTCCCCGTAGCAAGGGGAACTGTTGGGCTAGTGGGTGGAAAAGGATTTATTGGTCTTTCAGACTCAGTTGTCTTTAGAGATTTGGAATTGAAGTAAGAGATGCTGAACGTTCGTGTCTGGTTCTCTCTCCGTTAGCTGTCATTGAACTTCCGGAAGAGGTGGAATGGATAAAATTCAACGTGGATATGAGTGGTTATTACATAGTACACTACACTGAAGACTGGAAGACGCTGATTGATCTGCTGAAAAAAAATCACACTGCTCTGAGTGCTAAAGACAGAGCCAATCTGATCAACAATATCTTCAGTCTGGCAGGGTAAGACTTTTGTACTGGAAAACACAGTTAATGTTTAAGTTTTTTCCGAGTCAAAGAAGATCAGACTTGGGTCAGAGAAGACTGCTTCATGGAAGCTTTAACTTAGTCTTCATTAGCCCATTGAAACTGCTCCCTATTCAGTAAAAGTAACTTTTAAAGTTATTTCCCTGAAGCTTCTGTGTCAATGTTAGATATTACCTCCCTGTTCTTAGTAGCAGCATCCATTTCTTTGCATCTCAAAGAGCATGTGGTAGTTTCTGTTGCTGTTTTCTTTGGTATCTGCTTAGTATGCTGTTCTTCTGCACTCTCTCCGTGAGTGTCCCATCTTAGAGAAATAAGCTATTTGCCTCTAAAACTTTTACTGGCTCCCTCTCTTGTCTCTCACCATTGGCTCCGCAACCCAGGTAAGGTTGAATATTCTGGATAACCTCTTCAATCACTGCTTCTTATGTCTGGTTATCCTAATTTATGGTAGATGTTTTCAGTCATCTTTTTCATGCCTTCTTAGTTTCTGTTAACTGAGGCATGTTAGCGGCCATTGTTGCGGTCTTTGTATTAACACAAGAATATGAAAATGTCCGCATCTCAGCGGTTTCTTACATTACTGCTTCTGCTCACCTATCCCTCTCAACATAGTTGAGGTTATTATGACTTGTATAAGATAGGTAGTATCCCTTCTGATCTTGTTTCAGGGAGCGCTTTTGTTCAAGAACCCATTTTTATTTTCTGTGCTTGTTAACCTTATAGTCTAGGAAAAGAGTCTCTGAAAAAGGCCTTTGAGCTGATCGATTACCTCGAGAAAGAGAGCAGCCCTGCACCACTCACTCAAGCTTTGTTTCAGATGAGTCTTATTTACAACCTCTTAGAGAAAAGGGGTGAACAGCTGGCGGCACGAGTAATGGTATGTCTTAGTTTTTGGTAAATCGCTGTTTGAAATGATTTGCTGTAATGTTCATTCACAGTTAAATTATCTATTTCAGTGTTTGTTGTTGAACAAATTATTCAAAAATCTGGTTAAGTTGGATTTGGATTTTAGATTGCTGCCGAGCTTGCCTGCTTTTGTTAAGTAGCGACGGTCTCTTACTGAGATGCTAAATTTTCTGGACTGACTTTTTTTTTTCTTCGGTGTTCTGTAGGACTTGTAGTGGGTACCTAGTGATGCCTCAGTATTTACTACAGTGGCTGTAAAGGTCAGTGTAGTTGTCATGGATCAAGATCCATGACGTTTTCAAGTACAAAGAAGAGAAGAAAATAGCTCTTTCAGTGTTACTTTAGAAAGTCATTAAAGTGACTGGAGTTGGTAGAGCTAGTTGCTTTGTATAGAGAGAATGCAAAAAAAAAAAAAAATCCACCGTATTTGATGTAAAAAATAGAAGTGCATGAATGGTTGTCATTGTCCCATTGCAGCTGGGGAAATAGATGAACATCCAGCGCTACAGACTTAGCAGTGAAATAAACATTGTAGTCTCAGTTCTTGCTGTGGAAGTGTGTGTCACTTTCCATTCTGCCTTGTTATTTTGAAGCCTCCTTTCCATATTCATCCGCTGATTTTAAAAGGTGCTTACTGCTTTGTGCTGTAGAACATCAGCAAAGGGATTTAGTCTTGAATGCAAGTTTTTAAACGCCCAGATAGAATAGTGGATATCCTTATTTATATTCCAGGTAAAGGTGAAATATAAGTGCTTAAGGAAACTCGGCAAAGAACCAGAAAGCTACAAATTACATGCTGTGAAAAGTGGTGCAAGCTGTGGTTTGCTTGCAGTGTGTATTAGATTGTAATAGTTGAATTTGACTTGGCTAAACGTAGCCCCTAACATAAAGCTCATCCTAGCAGCCACGTTAGTGAGTGTCAGCCGAGACGCGGTAGCTAGCAGGCACCTGGCTGTGTTTGTGGCAAGCTACAAAGCTACAGCTATGAGTGGTGGGCAGCCCAAAGATAAAGGTTGGTTTGTTTGCCTTAAACTAAGGTGTGTTAACTGTGGTTTGCTCAAGTTAAAAGCACTTGTAAGCAGACAGAAGTTGCAGTTAGTTGAGGTAGTAAGCTGACTGTGAGTCTCAGGATCTCAGAGCGTGGACAAGTAGGTATGTTTGCTCAGAAAACACGTATTGCCTCTCTTTAGCACCTGATAGAGAGGCTATGCTTAAGGTAAAGTTGAGTTTAACTACTACCGTCTTTCTGTGAACAGTAGTTCAAGGAGCAGTGTTCCATTTACATATGCAACTCAAGGCATTGACCTGGCATCTCTTTCAGGTGTATGTGGTGCCTGGCATTTATTTATGTAGGCAGTAACATATGGTATATGTTAATTGAAATAGGAAGATGAAAATCTACTATGTTGAATTTACACAGTTTTAAAACTTCCTGGGTTTTTTTGCTGCTTTTGTATACGGAAAATTCTCTTGGGAAGAATTAGGTTCTTATCCTGTTGCTAATCATGTTTCCTCCTTTAGCATAGAATAGAACATCTACTTGGAAATAAAATTGATCAGCAAACTTGGACTGATGATGGGACCCTATCTGAACGAGAGCTGCGGGCAACACTGCTAGCTTTTGCCTGCGCTCATGATATGCGAAACTGTAGAGTGACTGCCACTGAGATGTTTAAGAAGTGGATGAGTTCTAATGGCACAACGAGGTACTACAAAAATTAGCCTGATGCTCCTTTTATCGATCTGTTTTGCTGTTGCCTCCCCACCGTGTTTTGCACGAAGATATGAACACTGATAGGTCACTTTGTTCTGTCTTTTACTGTTCTTCATCTAAAAGTAATTGCTGCTTTAAGATGAGAGGGAAAACTGTGCTAGAACTTAAAACTTTGTCTGCAGTGTTATTGAGTGTGACTGCGAGACCAGCGGCAAATTGTTTCCATCTGCATTTCCTAAGCTGCATGCTCAAGGAGAATTACATAGTAGCAGCATCAAAGTTAACCTTTTTCTCTTGCAGAACTCTCTCTGCTCTGGGTTCACGTGGATTTTGTGCCACAGAAAACTATTCAGATTCTTGTACCATTTACTGTGCTTTCATGTGAATAGCGTAATTTGTTTTCTCCTAGTGAGTTAAACTACTAGAATGGCATGAATTCCTTTTTTCCAGCAAACTTACTGTCGCTACAGAAATAAATTGCTCTAACGAGAGGCATCTCTTCCAGTATTTCTGCCTAACTTTTATTTTGTGACTTTTTCCTTTCTTTCCCAAATAATTGGGTTTTTTTCCCTCCCTCCCCCTCCTCCCCATGCCTTTTTCCCCCTGTTTGTCACCGTAGTCTGCCTAGTGATGTTATGAAAGCCATATTTGCAGCTGGAGCCAAAACTAATGATGGCTGGGAATTCCTCTTAAAGATGTACTCCTCTTCAGTTTCTGAAGCAGAAAAGAACAAAATGATTGAAGCTTTGGCCAGCACAGATGATGTCAGAAAGCTGATCTGGTATGGAACAGCCAAAAAGTTATTTCCCATGTAAATTTAAAGTGTTAGAATCTTCCTTGAAAGAATGAATTGTGGTCTTTGTTGTTGCAGAATAAAATTCTGAAAGAAAATCTAGCTAGATGTTTTGCATAGCCTCCCATAAACATCAAGAGTGTGATGCTTGCCCTTACAAATGATTTATGTAACAGAGTAATTCAGAAAGTCAAATTCTGCACAGTTTGGAACATGCACAAAGAGAAAACAAAAACAATTGGAGTTAAAAGCCTTGCATTGCTGGAATGGTAACACAGTTGCAGATTGTTCTATTGAGTCTTCAGAGACTGGTATGTCTTTATAACCAGGACAATAACTAGGATTTTTTAAAATTTCGGTGGGTGAAATTTTCGCCTTGTGTTGTGCTCCAACACCTGTCATAAGACCAAATCTCAATGCTACATGGAGGACACCAGAAGCGTCCTAGTGGGTGATTCTTGTAAAAGCTTTCCTCTTTTGACTTGTGCATGAATTATATTTTCTTTCATAAGTTGTGAGAATTTACTGCATCTTTTCAAAAAAGAGTGAAAATTTAGATACTTAGTTTAGAGCTAAGACCGTTCTAATACTGGGAAACTCAAGGTAAATGAGTATAGTGAGTATAAATTGGAGCATCAGTGTGCTACAGATGCCAGAAGTCGTTAGGTATTTGGTCTATTAAAGAATCTTCTTCATATGGTTCTCTGAATACTCCTGAATTAAAGGAAATCACGAATGGATTAGGGTTTTTTTGTTTTGTTTTCCTGTCCCTCTTCATAGCTTTGTCTTTTAGGTTAATGCAGAACAGCCTTGAGGGCGAAGTCATAAGGGCGCAGGAGCTTTCACATATCATAGCAACTGTTAGCCAGAGTTTGCCTGGATATTTGCTGGCCTGGGACTTTGTTAAAGAGAACTGGGAAAAGCTTACACGAAAGTAAGATTATTATTATTTTTTTTAATGTACCTGAAACTTTATACTCTCAGTGACAAAAGGACCTGTTTCTTTTAAGTGCCTAATAACAAATAGTTGGCTTCATATGAGTAGCCTTGGAGTAAGATGTGAAAGCATGTTTTAAAATACATTTTTTTCAGAAAGAAGATGGAGCATAAATTTTTAAATATTTTGATAGTTGATGGGACTTTGGTGCCCGAGTCTTGTACTCGCTTTAGAAAACCTTGATGTGAACTCCTGTTAAAAGGGTACCATCTCTAAAACAACTGTTGCAGATGCAGAATTTGCATGGATCAAATACATTCAAAAGCAGACCCATGGAGTTGACTCCGCATGCATTTCTTCTATCTTTTTAGAGCAATTCCAAAGCCAAACAAGAAAATCCATCTTGCCTTAGAAATAATGTTCTCCTTAATGGGTCTTGCTGGCTACCCAGCAGGAGAGCTGTCCTGTGAGTCTTCAGAAAACTAACAGTGCTTGGAAAGCTTGTATTCTGAGTCTTAATTTTGATTTGGAATAGCTTCATGTTACTTTAGGAAAAAAAAGAAAAAAAAAAGCCACAAACAAAAAACCAAAAACCTTCTGCTGCATGAAAATTCCTGTTCTACCAAGCTTTTAATAGTCAGTATGACAAAAAATTACTGTTGTTGAAATGAAATCTGGGGGTGAATTTGATTATTGTCAAGTTTTGGAATACATCCCACAAATGCAGGTTTTGATATTCAGTATGGGGTGTCTTTAGCCCTTTAGTTTTGGAGCTGGGGTAGAAGTTTGAAGAGTTTGCATGTCCTTAGCTCTAAAGCTCAATTTTTAGGGGAGTGAAGGCTCTTCAGGCTTGGGCTTCTGAAAGCTCCTATCTCTTTCAAAAATGAGTTGTGAAAACTTAATTAAGTGCTTTCAATAGTTTCCAGCTCTAAAACAAAAAGCTGAGAGTAAGAATGTGTACATGTTCTGAACTTGCATCTTAAAGTGGCTCCTAGGTGTTTTCTTCTGTGTTTTGTATTTCAGGTTTCACCTAGGCTCATACACTATCCAGAATATCGTTAGTTGGTCAACTTGTCAGTTTTCCACAAAGGCACATCTGCTTGAGGTTGGTGGCGTGAACTACCAGAAAGTGTTACTTACTATAGTACTAAAGCTGTGCATTTCAGTTAATTGAGAAATGAGGAAAACGCATATTTTTACCATCTTTAAGGCCTTTTCACACGGATACACAGCTATAGCTATCCTTTTTTCCTAAGTGGGAAATACATCTATAAGCTTGTTGAAGGTTACATGTTGAACCTGTGACAGAGTTGGGAATATTTATTTTGGTTTCCTGTTCAATAGAGCAGTCTCCCGTAATAGAGATAATGAGTTTCGGGCATAGATTTTGTAAACAAGCTATGCTTTCTCCATCTCTGAAATCAGATGGAAGGCGATAAATATTGCTGTATTTTATTTTGACTGTTGGTGACCTCAAGGAGCTAGTGTGGCAATTGAGGATCAGTTAAGATCTGCGATACCTCAGGCATCTCTGTCTCCCCTCTGTGTTCCCCCTTCCCAGGGGTCGGTGAGGTTCAGGGGTCAATAATGGTCTGTGGTTTAGCCTAATATTTTCACTCAGGTAATTTTGTTATTGCTACAGTTTCCGTGAAGGATGATCTCCTTGCGTTTTGGGAATCCCCCTGCTACTGCAGGATAGAAGGTTCCCCGTTTTCTGCATGCGCTTGTAGCCTTTGCTTTTGAAACTATTTGTGTGGCCTACGCTAGCTTCAATTAGAATATGTTCGTTCGTTCTTTCTTTTCTTGTTGTGCAGGTGAAGACATTTTTTGAGTCACGATCAGAGGAGAGTTCTCAACTGCATTGTGTAAAAGAGGCAATTGATACAATTCAGCTCAATATCCAGTGGATGGAGAGGAATTTAGCAAAACTACAGGAATGGCTATAGTGAATGAACATACTGCTGTGGTTTTCCAGCCATTCAGGATATTTGTGGACTGTTGCTCTGTTACTTTTGCAAAAGCCAGAGTGAAACCAGGCATTGCTGCAACATCGTTTGCACTATTAGGGAGTCTAGATAGCTCAGGGCACATCTCACGTAAGTTTTGTTTTTCCTTGGAGCATTTATGGGCAGGATGTAAGTATTTATTCTGAAACTATTTTAATCTGTAGACCAAACATCTGCATAAATGATGATGCATAATTTTATATTTGAAACATGCGCCCTTTCATTTGGAATCATGTTGTAGTTTTTCAGCAGTGAGTAAATACTGACAGAGGCAGAAAAAAGCAAGATTTACCATGCAAACTGTTCTTTCTTTGCAGACTTCTGGTTCAGCAATAGGGTTTTTAAATGCAAAAATGTAAGTAGTTTTTACATTTGTAGATACAGTAGCTGTTGTGGAACAGAATCATACCTTATAAGGTCCATTAATACTTACATAATTAAGGTGCGCCAGTTTGAGGGGAGATGAAGTTTCGGATGTGCTTCAAATTTTGATTTTTAAAAAGGTTCTCTAGAATTTACACAAATCATAGGAAAGAGCAATATAGCATTCTAAGCAATGTACGCTTTCGTCTGTAAAGTGGCTGAGTATTAATATTACATACGGAGAAGTGAAAAGCCAAGGAGCAGAAACGTTTTGGAGGTGGGATTTCCAGAAGCACCTAGGTGACCTTGGGATTTTTACTCTGAATTGATTAAACGTTTTTGAGAATCTCCTCTTTAATCATTAGATTGTAATTAATGTTGCTATGTTGATCTCTTTGAGCAACAGCAGAAATCTGCTGTGGGAAGTTGCTCCAGGCTGGTTCATCTGTTAGACTGACTACTGATTTGTTCACTTTTGACTACTGATTTTTAATTTCTTCACTTGTTGCGGAGAGTCTGCAATTAGTAGATGTGTATCAGCCACTTAATTTAGGTAAGCTTCTGCTTTTTTCCTTAACCTGTGACCTCCCATGTCACTAGTTTAATTTGTGTGCATAGCTTACTTTGTATAGCATAGCATTAGGAAAGCTCCTCATTTGGATTTTAATGGTATATTCTCCTACTCTCTTGAAAAACCCCAGGGGACAAATCTTCAAACTGTTTTGAAGAAAGGGATCTAAAAAAAAAAAAAAAAAAAAAGGGCAAAAAATCTGCAGTACAATCTGCCTCTGTCTAAAAACAGTTAACATGGCCATTTCTTAGGCATGACATGTACATGCAACCTATGCAAGAATAAACCTACTTGTTTATCTGAAGAGCTGATATTTTTAAATGTTCATTTCACTACGGATGTACCTTTTGTGGATTTGTGCACATGTTTAAACCTGCTTTACCTTATCACGGTCCAATTATGTGGTCAGTTTTAAAGTAGTATAAAAGCACTGACAATTAAAAGTGGAGTTTTTTGAACTAAGTGGATTTATTTTCAACCAGTGTAACTTCTGAGGAAGACGGTAGTTTGATTCAAAGTTAAATTATTGGACTTAAAAATTTACCAGAGGATAACGTAAGCTGCGTAGTTTCACTTACGAAACCGCGGCATTGGCTATTCATTTGATTAGCCAAAATTGTCAGCTATGAGCGCTTAAGCCACGCCACGCTGTTCCCCTCTTTTCTGAATATGTCAGAAGTCCTGGAAAACAAAAATTTCTCAACTTGTCACCAGCTTCGATTTTGGTGACTTTGTTACAAAATCGTCAGAAAGAATGTGAGACCTTGAGAGCGCACGAAATACTTGTTTGCCAAAGAGGTCCAGAAATTAGCCTATTCTGCGTGCACCAAAGAAGGAATTGGCTGTGTGAGGACTAAAAGTAGATCATGCTTCCTTACAATTATGGGATTAGATTTTTAATTAATTTTGTTCTTGGATTGTTTGTACTAACTGCCACGTTTTTTTTCCTTTCCTTTTTTTTAACCTTTGGACTCTACAGAACTATTTTAGTTCCATCTTTGTATGTACATAGTTGGCATGTATTTTTCTTTATAGTCACTTCATTCTAAATGACAGTAGTGAACTCCTTACACATGTTTTACCTCATCCCTGCCTGCAGTACTGAGGTATGTGAATTTCAAACAGAGACTGGAGAAAGATCCCATCCTCCTCCTGTGTTCCACTGTGGGATTTAAAAATGTACCATTGTATTCAAAAGCTTTATTGGTAATGAACCCTTTGTAAGGAAATAACATGCAGCTGAGTTTTAGACGGGAGATGATAAAAAAAAAAAAAAAAAAAAAGTTTGGTAGGTTGGGAGGTTTGAGTGGGTGTGGCGTGGGGTGGGGGGGGGTTATTTTGTTGTTGTTTTCCTCCCAGTAGTTTGTAAGTAACCTTTTTGGTATACAGATGATGTTGCAGGCGTTTCAGTGTGAGTTATAGAGTGCTTTCAAATTATTTTTCTGCCGTGGAGTCTCTGAACTTCTAATTCTCTGTATTAAGAGAGGTGTTAGAGTCTCTCCTCCGTGAGAAACGCTGAAATGTACTCCTCCGCTTCTGCGTTCCTTACGAGCTGAGGGAGACTGGAGCGGCGCGGCTAAGCTGGCCTAAGCAATGAATTGCCCTCGACAGCCATATCTGTCCTGCCTTCTACTGGGAAGGAACGAAATCTTACCAGTTTTTTTAGATTTTTCTTTTGTCTTCCGGTGAAAAGAAAAAAGTATATTGCAGCCAACAGCACCTCTTTACCTAATTTCTGTAGTATTTTCCAGTTAAAACTTACAGAACCAGTGTTTGTGGATGTCTTAGGCCACTGTTATTTTAAAGCCGAAGAGCTTTTCGGTAAAAAGCTTTGGGTTTAAATGCTACTAGCTTTGACTCGTCTGCTGCAATGTGAGATGATTTTGAATGAATTGGAGCTATACAGTTTGTATTCCGTCAGACTTCATAAGTTACTGTCTTTAAAGCCATTATGCACTGGTTTTCTTGCTACTTTCCAGTATCCTCTGTTTATAAATAAACCACGTGTAATTTTTAAGAACTGACTGTGGTGAAAAGCAGATGTACAGCTCATCTATTTT